GATGATGAGCGTCGCAGCCGCCGTAGCCGTCGTGAGGTTAATTCACCCGAGTCGCAGTACCTCGTCGACCTGTCAATTGCCGAGGACCAGCTGGAGTTCTGGCAGTCGGCCGCGAGGCCATCTGGCGCACAACTCCTTTCGACCTCGCAGGCTGGCAATGACACGCACAATGAGCTCTATACGGTTCCGGCTACGGATGCACAGTATGCCACAAGCAACATCGGCATGCCTGCCATCAGTGCTTCCGGGTTGAAGCCCGTCTGGCGTGTTACCTTTGATGCACCGGCTGTCGTACATCGAGTCGAGCTCTCCATTCCGACTGTGTACATGGATGAGCATCCAGCGCACTACGCTGAGGTGTTTGATATTGTCCTGTACAATTCTGCCGACCTGCCGCTTCGTTCGACTCGCGTCTTTGGCCAACGCACACACATCTGGGCGAATGTGGATGCCACCCAGGCCGCTTACCTGGAGATTCAGGGCGTCTCTGATCGTGCTGTGCAGCTCGCACTTGATCGCGTCCGTGTCATTGGCGGCTTTGAGCGCGATTGTCTCCCTCTTGTGTCGTTTGATCTGGCATATCTTGCCAACGACATTCGCTTGGCTGGCGAGGTGGTCCACGTCTCGAATGCATCACTGGGCGCTTCCGTTTTGGCCTCCAGTCCACAGAATTACCTGGTGTACTCGGTGCTTTCTGACTGGCACCCAGCTAGTACGAGCTCACTGCCGCAGCTCAATTCAGCCGCCATCGCACAGCTCGACATCACCAACAGCGACAACCAGCAGCGGGTTGTCACGGATGCATCCTTTGAGTCGGCACTCGATGATTTGGTGGCTTCGTGGCTGAATGGTGATCTTGCCAACAACGGACTCGCTCTCCGCCTCGACCTGGACCAAGTCGGTAAAGCGAGTTTCGACCGTGACGAGTTTACTCTGTCGTTCAACCTGCGACGCTTCCTTTGGCGTAACACTTCGTTGAGCGACTGTTCTGCGCGATGCGGCGCAGGTGTTCGACACGCAATTATTCAATGCTATGAGCGCACCCACAGCGACAACGGACAGCCTCAATACATTGTCGTGGACGATTCGTTCTGTCGGTCCAGCACTCGCCCGCCCGCAACAGTTGCATGCGATGCTTTCGATTGTGACTACGAGTATCGACAGCTCTGTGGCGATTGTCTTTGCACTGAAACCTCGTGCCAGTTTTCCGAGGCGCGGCAATCGACGCTTCAATGCTTGCACAACACTGGCAGTAGCGGCTCGGAAGTTCCAGTTTCGGTGTCTCTCTGTGAGAAGCACGGTCTCCAGATGCCAAACTCCACAACCTGCCCGAGCTGCAACTGCACTTCTGGATGTGAGCTCAAGTGGGAAGTGTCGACGTGGTCATCCTGTGAACCTGCGTGCGGCGCTGGCACGCGCACTCGTAACATCACCTGTACTCGCCGCGATCCATCCCATCCGCCGCATTTCTGGCCCACTGCAACTCCATCCGAATGTGCACGTCTTTCTGATCCTCCGAGTGCCCTCGAGTCGTGCTACTCGCGTGATGGCTGCTCGAACGGCGATGTCAACACAGGCCTCGATCCATCTGCTGCCGTTTGGCCAATTCTCGCCGAGACCCGCATCCTCGAACTCAACAGCACAATCTCGCGTGTTGAATCCTTGATCCAACTAGGCGAGCCGCACCTCTCCGCCGAGTTGCTTGTTGCGCAAATTGCTCGCGACACGCTGTCAGCGCGTTTCGAGAGCCAAGTTGTCGACTCACGCACAAGCATGGACTTGGCCAAGCTGTCCGTCGAACTCGAGGTGGTCGATCTGCAAAACGAGCTGTCTGCGTCCCACACTCGCCAAGAGTCCGATCTGCCGACCAAAACGGTTGCTCTCGAGCAGCTGGAGCTGGACGCTCGTATGGCATCTGCACGAGCGACAATCAACATGCCTGGGAGTGGCGTGACGTCGTACAAGAACATTGGCATGCTCGGATTCGGATACCACATCTTCAAGGGCAACCCTCTTCCGTCGTCTGGCGTCGATCCCGGGTTCACCTTGCCTGTCCTCAAGGTGGATTACTCGATGCGTCGCATGACCGCTGATGGCAGCACGATGCTTCCTGACCGCGTCGCCGTCATTCCGTACGCTTCCGCGCAGTTTGACAGTCGTTCCCACCTCGTAACGACCTCGTCCGAGTACGCAGAAAGCTTGGAAGTGGACGTGTCCATCGAAACCTCCTTCTCGTTCAGTGCTCTCGTTGAAGGTGGAGGTGCCAAGTTTTCGGCGTCGAACGACTACAAGCAGGCCTCAGAGATGCATCAGTCGTCCGAATCTGTTTCAATCACCACCATTGGCACCGTCTTGACATATGTGGCAGAGTTCCTGGATGACACGCCTCCGCTCGCCGACCATGTCATTGAAATGTTCAACGCGCTCCCGCCGCCCGCGTGCTGTGATGGTCTTGTGCTTCCCTCGCACGCTGGAGTGAGCAAGGATCGTTCGGCGTGCACCGCAATCCATGCAAACTGTGGCGACCTTTACCTTCGGTTTTTGGAGAAGGTGGGGACCCACACCCTCATCGGCGTCCACATGGGCGGGAAGTCCATTCGAGTGTACACCATGGCACAAACCGAGTTTGAGTCGAGCGTGGAACAGTCGGATGCCTTCAAGTCATCATTGTCGCTTTCGTCTTCTGGAATCGAGTCGAGCTCCATCGACACGTCCTTGAGCATCAACAAGCAAAGCTCCCTTAAGCAAGCCGTCAAGGATCGCACCGAGTCCCGCCGCGAGACGTTCATGGGTGGTGACCCAACCGCAGGCACAAATGATCCGGAAGACCCCACAAACATGGACGGTGACAAAGAGTGGAGCACGACAGTGTCGAAGAATCCAGTTCCGATCAAGTACAAGTTGGTGCCCGTGCTGCAGGTGCTGGCTGTCGCGCGTTTGTCCAATGGCACCAACCAGGAGCTTGTCGGCTTGAAGCTCGACCTTTTGACCCGTTTCTACTTGCAAGTGTGCGCAAGCACACCTGGTGCTGACTGCGAAGTCCCGGCCAAGGCGGACGAGGTGGGAGTGCACTTTGGCGACTATGTCACCCTCTCTCAAGTCATCTCGGCAAGCAATCACATGGTCATGGCAGAGGACCCCAAGCAAGGCAGGCTGATTGCTCGTCAGGTGCCAGCGTCGAACGAGGACGTGGCAGACACGCACATGGACATTGTCAACCTTCCTGATGGCGTTGTCTGCTCGTCGTGTGGTGATTCAAGCCGCTACTTTAATGGAGAAGCTTGTACAATGTGCAAGAATCCACACACGACTTGTGCACCAGTCCAGCACGAGTCGTGGTCCGAGGTCATCCAATCTGCAAACCGTGCGAGCGACAAGGGACCGGCTGGCATCTATCAGGTCAAGGGCGTCTCTTTCGACCAGTGTAAGCAAGCGTGCATGGAGCGTCCCTCATGCAAAGCCGGCGTCTACTTGACCAATGCAGCCCATGTGGACCGCGCGGTCGAATCCTGAGAACGCGTTTGTTCGGCGCGGTGGTGACCATGACGACAACTGGTACATCTTCCAGCGCTGGGGTTGCTACAGCGCACAGCATCCAGACTTTTTCACTGGCTGGAGGGCGTACGGCGCCAGCTCCTTCCGAAAGCAGCCGGTCGTCGACGTGGGCCTCGAGCGATTGCGCATCATTTCTCCGTCGAGCGTTACGACAGGCATCTCTTCGCCAGTTACGTATGGCCGTCTCTTCATGCTCGCCACGTCGTCGGGACTGGTGGTGCGGTCGTTGCAGCGCGACTGGTTTGACATTAAAGCAACGAACGAGCAGTTGAGCACACTGCCGCTTCGTTTCCGCTTTGTCAGTCGCACTGCGGCAACCGGCACTGTTGTCCACTATGGAGACAATGTTGCAATCGAAGAGGTCATTGTCACTGGCCAACTGAGTCCGTCCGACCAAGCAGCCTTGCTGCAACGAACGCGTTTCCAGCGGATGGAGCCGCACTATCTCACCATCAACAGCGGCAATGGGTTGGTTCCCATCAGCCAGAATATGACTGTGCGCTCTCGTATGCTGACAGAGATTGGCGATCTGGAATGGACTGTTCACCTGTCTCGCAATCCGACCAGCACGAGCCTCTCGTCCGTCACTCCGCTGTTGTCGTACAGCCGGCAAGGAGACGATGTGCTGAGCCGCACGTTGCTGTTTTCTGCGACAGTTGACCTGCTCGAGAGTGCCGGCGTTGACGACTTGAACACGTTGCAAGCTCGCTTGACGTTTAACGATCCCGTCACTCGCGACTCGCCAATCGCCCAGTACCCAGGCCGCGACCGCCTCTCCACGATCACCGATGACGCCTTCCTGACCCGGCTCGATTTTGTCGTGCAGCTGCTGCGTCCGACCACTGCCGGGCTTGCCTTACATCTGGCTTCCAGCTCGGACGCAATCCTGACGTCCGGAAATGCAGGCATTGCGCGAGAGGTGAAGATTTCCTCGGTGCGTATTTCAACCCGCGGTCGTTCCAGTACTGCCTACCAGTTTGTTATCAAGCTCGCCGAGCCAGCCCATGATGGCGACGTGCTGAGCGTTTCTCTCAGTTCTCCAGAGCTGGTCAAGTCCACCAGCCAGGGTGTGTCTGTGGCTCCCGCTGACAACCAAGCCCTGTCCGAGCTTGTGCTTCCAGTTCGCTTCCAGCTGAGCAACAACTCGAGCATTGTGTTCCATTCCACTTCAAGCAACGGTGCCGAGACGACCGTGCCACTGACGTTTTCGACGGGTGTTGTGAATGCCGAGCGTGACTTCCCCTCGGTCTCTGACTTTGTCGTGACGGACAGTTCTTCGCCGGCGCGTCTTTTGACGATTGTTTCGGCGCAGTGCCAGGTTATGAATGGGACTGGAAACGCGCTGGTGTTGGACTCTGTTCGGCACGAGGCAGACGTTCAATCGGGATGCGTGCATGTCCTTGTCGGAGTTGCGACCAGCGATCGCATGCACCTCACCTTGCCCTTGTACATTGACGTCGTTCAGGCGCGTATCCGTGCGGCCCAACGTGTCGAATATGCCGAGCGGCGCCGTGTGGCGTTTTATGATGAATGATGCTGGCGAGTGGTTTCTTGCATTGCTGATTGCCGGATGATTGTTTCGAATAGGAGGTCATGGTCGAGCTAGCTCTAGTGTGCTTGACCCTGCTTTCTTTCTGGTTTCTTTGTTGGCTTTTTGTTTGTTTGTTTTTGTGCTTGACTCTTGCTTTCTTGTTGTTGCTTTGTTGGGTCGTGATTTTCTTTTGTTTGGCTGGTGGTTTGTTGGTTGTTTGTTTGTTTGTTTTTCTGGGTTTTTTTTTGTCATTTGTTTTTGTTCAAGAAGCGGCATTTGTTCAAAAGGGCATGTCATGAAATCGCTGTCATATTCCTTCACCACCCTTCCCTCCTTTGGGGTTAACAAGAAGAAACGAAGTGGCAAGTCTGAGAGGCTGCTCTACAATCGAGTCCAGCGAAAAAGACTCTAAAGCGCCCCCCTTGAGTCATCTCCTTCCCCTGCCACCTGAATCATTGGAAAGAGGCAAATGTAGATCTATATCGTCGAGTTGGTAAAATTCGTGCGGATTGGACGGGGAAAGTTGCTTGGCAAACTTTTGTCCATCTAGTAGATCTACTGTAGTGGATGACTTGACTTATCTGATTTTATTATTCTTATTATTACTATTATTTGCTAGCAAGGCTCACTCTTACTTTTCCATTCCAACTCATCCAAAATGGAGCGCACTGTAGACGGCGTGATTGTTCTGGACTATGCCGATCTGCTCAGCGGTGCTGATCTCTCTGCCCAGATCGAGGTGCGTTGTTGGCAAAAAAAAAAAAAAAAAAAAATCCTGCCGCTCTCTTCTTCTAGTTGTTGCTGTCCCTCTTTGCCGCTGTGTTTTCAACATTGTGCTGTCGCGCGACACGACAACGTATGGCTGTGCAATGCAATCTCACTCTCGCTCTCTCACTCGCTCTCTCGCTCTCTCGCTCGCCGTCCTTCCCTTCGCAGGCGGCGTTTGGCGATGGTCCCGACGCACTCGGTGCCCTGTTTGTCAAGAATGTCCCGGACTACCAGTCGCGTCGCCTGCAGCTGCTCCCGTTCGCCTCAAAGTACGCAGCGCTCCCCGACACGATCAAGGCGAGTTTTTTTTTTTTTTTTTCGTTTGTTCCCCCCCCCCTTATCTCTCTCTCTCTGTCTCTCTCTGTCTCTGTGAATGTGCTCGCAGCGAACAAATGAAATCGCCACGTCACGAAGCATGTGAATGCTTGTTCATGCTGGCATTTTGCGCTTGAGTGTGTGCGAGCGAGAGGGGGACTGGGGATTGCATTTTTTGTGAAAACCTTCCTCGTGCTTCCAGCTCGCTTGTCGTTTGTGCTCACTCGTGCCTGTTGTCTGGGCCCCTCTTTTTCACTCCCTGACACACAACAGGCCAAGACCACCCATCCCGAGAGCAGCTTCAGCTTTGGCTGGAGTCACGGCAAGGAAAAGTTTGACGGAAAGCTCGGTAAACACAAAAACAAAAAAAAAAACCAACAAAAAAAAAAACACAATCATTGAGTTTGTTATCGCGCGCTCTGGCTGCAGGTCACTCACTGGAGTTGCACTGTGCTTGGTCGACTGCGTAGACGTTGCCAAGGGCTCGTATTATGCCAACCCTCAGTATGACGTGCCGACGGTAGGCACCAGCGCGTCTTGTTGTGTTTTGGGGCGTTGGGGGGGAAGTGCGATCTGGTCAATCCTGATTGCGTGCCCCGATTTCACCGTTTTCGCTTTGTAGACCGACCCAGAACTCATCAAGTCACTCCCAGAGTTGTGCTCAAACAACATCTGGCCCGAGGAAGATTGCCCCGGATTCGGCGATGCCTTCAAGAACCTTGGTCGGCTGATCGTCTCGGTTGGCGAGCTGCTTGGCAAGCAGTGCGACAGTTATGGTAAGCAGCACGCGCAAGCACCAGCTCTGAAGCGAGCCTACTGCTGGTTGCGGGGGAGGGGGCCCCAAATGCCTTGGAATTCCATTGTTGGGAATCAACCTGCTTCTAACACATCGTTCTGTGATATCGTTTTTTTGTTGTTGTTTTCCCTCGCTTGTACAGCCGAGAGGCATTTGCCAGGTCACAAGGCGCACATTTACGAAAGCATTGCGCGCTCACGTACCTGCAAGGGTCGCGTGCTTCACTACTTCCCTCAGGCTTCGGCTGCGATTCCAGCGGCCGCGGCTGGTGCTGGCGATGACTCGCAATACGCCTCTTGGTGTGGCTGGCACTTGGACAACAGTGCGCTGACCGGTATGAATGCGTTTTCCGGGCGTCGTGTTGAAGCGCTATGCCGTTTTGCTGACATTTGTTTTTTGTTTTTTTGTTTTTCGAATTTGAAATTTTGCTCGAATCACTCATCCAGGTCTCACGCGTGCCATGTACCTTGATCCGCAACACAACGAGGTTGAGTGCCCCGACCCAGATGCAGGCCTGTACATTCGAAGCCGCAGCGGCAAGGTTGTGCGCGTTAGCATTCCGGCGGACATGCTGGCCTTCCAGATGGGCGAGTCAACCCAGATTCGAAGCGGCGGCAAGCTCCGTGCCACCCCACACTGCGTGCGCGGTGCCATGGGGGAGAAGGCCGTTGGCATCTCCCGCAACACTTTTGCTGTTTTCATGCAGCCGCACTGGGATGAGACACTCGACGCGCCCGCTGGCGCGACTGTGGAAGACGTCGCTGTGCCACAGTGGAAGGCTGGCATGACCTTTGGCGAGTTCCTCAAGAGCGTGTTTACTTACACGTACTGAATTTGAAACGTCCGTGCACAGCAGTGGTTGCCGTTGTGGTGTTGCTGTCATTGTGTACAACCATAGAACCGTTGTGTTACCTTTTCTTTCTTTGGCCGTTTCGTCCTCTTCGTGTATTGCTGAGTCCTTTTTGCACCGACATTTGATGAGCTTTGCAAAAGGGGGAAAGAAAAAATAGTGCGATTAACATTGAAACAAAAAAAAAATAGCCAAAGTACGAAGAAAACACAAACACCACACAGAGAAAACACAAAACCCACACAGCGTTAACACAATGCAAAGACAAGCGGAGCGATCCTTGCTGACTTATGGAGCAGTTGGTAATGCATCCAAACTTCCGGGCTTGACATCAAATACGACAGCCTAACGGGGGAAAAAAAAAATCACCACAATCGAATCAGAGAATTGAAGACGACGATCTACTCACAAACAGACCAAAACAAGGAGAACGTACAGCGAGGCTGCGGAAACCGGCGGCAATTTTATCACCATTGGGCGACCAGCTCACGTTGAAAACGACATCATTCTCGTCGCGGTGACGATACGCCTTGACTGCCGAGCCATCCTGGTGTTGCAGCAAAACGTGAGCATCATCAGAAACAACAGTTTCAGAACGACAAAGACTTCAACAATCTTTGAAAGTACCTTCATGCTCCAAACACACATCAGCCCGTTAAACGCTCCAGATGCCAGGAACATGGCATCGGGACTGAAAGACAGCGTGTAGACTTCCTTCCACATGCCCGTAAGAATGTTGATGCACTGCCCGTTGGCAACCTCCCAGAGCCGAATGGTCGAGTCGTTTGACGCGCTGCAAGCAAGAGGGAGTGAGGGGGAGGTGAGAGAAGGCATCAATTAGAACCCGAGTCATCCATAAAAAAAAATTAAATGAAAAAAGAAAGCAGCAAACATGAAAAATGCTGGGGGGGGGGGCGACTCACGTTGCAAGCAGGAGTGGAAGGTGAGGGTTGCGCGATCCAACTCCTGTTGGACTCCATCGAATGCAGTAAATGCCAGCGCTGTGGCCCTGCAGATCAAACAAGGGCGACGAAGAGGCCATCGACCAGATTTTGGCAGTGCAATCGTCCGAGCCCGACGCAAGCAAGTTGGCAGCAGGATCCCACAGGACTGAATTGACTTCGTTCTGCATACGAAAGGTTGTGTCAGAAGCGAGTTACACGCAACAGAGATGCTCCAGAAGCCAGGCAATACAGACGCCAACCAGCAAACTCACAGAGTGACCGACGAACGAGTGCACGGGCTTTGCTGAGCCCACCTCCCAGACTTGAATGGTCGTGTCGACAGAACAGGTGGCAAACGAACGTTCCGTCCGCCAATCAACGTCGAGCAGCGGTGCCGTGTGGTGCAGACAACGTTGAATTGCCTGGCCAGTGACGGCATTCCAAACGACCGCCGATTTGTCAATGGACACGCTCACCAGCATAGAGTCGTCCTTGTTCCACTTGACGGCGAAGATGGGCGTGACGTGCTCGGTGAGCTCCTTGACCAGTCGACCTGAATGACGAGCGATAAACCATGACAAAGCAGCAAGACCAAAGTGAGCGAGCGCGTGGGCGAGGCGAACGTCAAACACGAAAGGGGAACGTTACCTGCAGTGGACCACAGACGCACCACACCATCGTAACCTCCTGTGGTTAACGTGGTGCCTGCCCTCTGTACGGCACACCAGAATACAACAACAGGAAATGAGCTGCTGCACGAAAGAGGGGACCTCGAGTCATCTCGAGCAAATCGAGACTTACATTCCAGCTCAGGTGCGTGACTTCTTTGCAATTCGGCCCGTGATCGAGCAGTATGGATTGGTTGGTCGGGACGGTTGATGAAACGGACTTTGTCAATGCTCCAAGCTCCCACAATCGAGCAATAGCACCACCACTGTTCAAACAAAGTGCACGGTTTTGGGGGAAAAAATGGTGAGAACGACAAACGCTCAACATAACCAGCACAGGCCTCTTTCACAACACCAAAAGCCGACTTACGCTGCCGCTAAATGCGTTTGGGGTGCATTAAAGGCACAGCAAGTGACCTGTCCATGTGCAAAATCGAGAACGAGAAAACTGAGTGTTGACAACGCTGCATTCTGAACGCCCCTGTTGCTACGGCTCAGCCACCTACCTCGCTTGTGTTCTCTAGCGTTGTTATTTCATCTGGCTTGAACATGGCCAGCTTGAGAGGCTGCTGCTTGGCCTCGACTTTGGTGTCTGGCGCGACGTCCATTTCTGCCAAGCGACCGCCAAGCAAGCCCAGGTCAGCACCAACGGCGACAGTTGAATGTTTTGCATATCCGGCCCATGAGCGATCGAGCAACCAGAGAGTTCCAACAAACGAGGCCGAACGCACCTGTAGCATCGTCCTTCTTCTTGGTCTTGCGAGCCTTTTCCTTCTCTGCCTTCTTCTTGGCCTTGCTCTTTGACTTGCAGACATGCGGCGTCAGCAATGAAAACGGCTCAGTGCACTGCACATCGGCGCCGTCCTGTGTGTCGAGACGACGATAGAAAAAGCCATCGAAAAGCATGGTGTGAGTATGCTCAGCCAAGACAACGACACCGTGTCGCGATTGGACGATCAGCCACAGCACCAGGCGTGTGTGCATGTGTGTGTGTGTCTTGCGCGCTCCGTGGCATACCTCTTGCAGATGCGTCTCGGCCTCGACATAGAGCAGTCCCTTCTGCAGGAAGGTGATGAGGGCGCCTGGCGCAACCTCGCGGCTTAGGCTGCTGGCCGCAGACCGCGTGATGAGGCTCTCATGGCCAAACGTAAACGCAGAGTGCAGGAATCCTGTCGTCGAGAGCAGACAGTGCGTCAGCGTCAGTGCAACAACAGCAAAAAGCAGTAAACGAGGGGGAAAAAAAAAAAAAAAAAAAAAAAAATCCAGCGATCTCCATTCAAAAATCATTGGGCTTTTGAATGCGAAAAGGCTCAAAGCAAAGCAAAGGGGGAGAAGGGCAGGATGATGGTGTGCGTGGAGGTCCACTCACCTGACTCTTGCAGATAGCGAAAGATGAGAAAGTTGACCTCCTCGCTTGTCAAACTCATTGAAAAGCGAGAAAAGAGTCGGAAGTAGACACAACGAAATAAAAGGGAGACTGAGGCAAGTTTTGAACCCTTTTAGTTTCCCGCGCTTTTTTTTTTTTTTTTTTTTTTTTTTTTTTTTTTTTTTGGAGGGGGGGAGCATGGTCATTCAGTAGAAAACGGTTGAATGTCGAATGTGGCAGATGGGACCAGTTGGCTTGATGTTACATCTATCGTGACGGCCGTTCACCGCTCTCGCCACAACGACCAGCTCAAACAGCCTTTGCTTTAAGCCATATTCAATGGAACGCTTTCATTCATTTTTATTTTTTTTCTGTTTTTCGCACTTTTTTTTTTTTGTATGGAAACGATCGACGAGGCGATGCACAGTCACACGCCAGCAGCTGGTACGACACCTCCTCGTCCGCCCTGCTTGCGTCGTGCTGAGGAGAGAGAGCGAGCGAGAGAGAAGAGAGCGCAGAAACGAACACACAGTGGCCATGCAAGAAACGCCATCTCGCTCTCACTCACTCATTCCCCCCCCCCTACGCCCCCACACTTTGCTGGGTCCCTTGGTCCCTGTGCTGCTGCTTTCTTACTTTGTTGTTGTAATTTGGAAAATGAATTGGCCGACAGAGTTGCCGACGAGCCAAACGCAGACGGCCGCTGCTGAGCCGCAGAGACCAACATTCAAACGCCAAGCCAGCGAGCAACTCGACGATGCTACAACTACTGCTGCAGAGCCTGTAGAGCCTGTAGAGCACGACCAGCAGCAGCTGGATGAGCCGTCGCAAGCGTCCACGGAGGACCGTCGCGGTGGCTGACAGCGCACCAGTGCTCGCGCGGCTGCTGCAAACGTCGTCGCTGCTGCGCAACGGCCGGTCATGGAAAGCACGCAGCCCGTTGGCTTGGCAATCAAGACAGACACCACGAGCCGATGAATACTGGCAGCGGAGAAGACGACAAGAGCAACACGCACTCTGGGGACGCAAGCGATAGTGAGAGTGACGACGACCTCGTCGACCAACTGTCACTCCGTGACCGGCTCATTCTGGCGCTGCGTGACGTGCTGTTTGGGGGCGTGGACGCACACCATCCTCATGGCCGAAGCAACGCCCAGGGGTTGTCGGGTGCGGTAGCCGATGCGTCGCGATTTTCCGCAGACTCTGCGCCTCCGTCCCCGCGAGGACGGATGAGCGCATCCATGCGTGCTGCAGCAGCAGCAGCTGCTGCTGCTGCTGCTGTTTCAACCTCTGCCTCGGTACCGACATCGGTGCGTGGGTCTCCAACACCGTTTGCAGATGAGAAGCCGTCAATCAGGAGCGACAGCAATAGTAATCCGGCCAGGCCTCGCGGACTGCGATCCTACGTCGAGGTGCAAGCACATGGTGGTGCATCTGTTGTCCACGTGTACCCAGCGGACGCCGAGCTGCTGAGCACACAGGAACGAGCGCTGTTTGCCGAAGCATGCCTCGAAGAGATTTTGTCGGAAGATCCCATCACTGGCCTCGCCCGCCACGTCATTGGCATTGTGCACCAGGGCGGAGCCGATCTTCCCAACCACTTCCGCATGCTTGTACGCGACCACCCCGCAACGCGCATTGTGCGCGAGGCGTTTGGGCAAAAGAACATGTCCGAGTCGACCCAAATTGCCGACTATGCCAATGCGATCGATGCCTCTTTCAGTCACGGCACCCATCGTGCTGGAGGCATGCGCCCAATCTCCATGGTCGGCTGCTTCCAAGAAGAGCTGGGCGGATACTTCCCGGAGCATCTGGCGCTTCTCGAAAGCAATCCGTTTTTGCGCGTTGTCATGCCGTGGGGTCCCATTTCAGTCCTCAAAGGCCTTCGTCCGCAGGATAGCAATGACGGGCCCATTCTATGGGTGCGACCTGGCGAGCAAGTCGTTGCGCTGTCAGAACTCGGGGCGACCACGCCAGACAGCGGTCGTCGTCGCGGCGGAGATGCCACCACCGGCTCTACTCCCGGGCGAGGCGAGCGCCGAAAAAAGGACCAGCTGGAATAGTACGTGTTTTTTGTTTATTTTGGTTGTTGAGGGTTGTAGTTGAGATGGGGACGCGCCGCATTTTGTTGCTCACAATCTTTTCATCTTTTTTTTCATCTTTTTTGTTTTGTTTTGTTTGCTTGTTTTGTTTGTTTTGTTGGGGATTGTTTTTGCTTTGTTTTGTGGCTCTCTAGCTTGTACATTCGTCCGCGTGTTGAAAGCCCTCGAGAAAAGCTCGTGGAAGATCGAACGGGTTGTCACGCAGACCACGCAGGGCTCATCCCATTCAGGCACACAGTCGCTGCAGTCGGGTTGCTGCAGCCGGTCAGTCAAGTCACAGCGCATGGCCGCCAGTCGCAGCATTCGCGAAGCATGCAAATTGAGGACGCCCGCGTCAAGGGCGACTCTCAACGGCTCGCAGCCTTGCTCGCCGAGGACGAAGTCTTTATGGAGGCGAGTGTGACTGGTGCTGTTCCGACGACTGGGGTTGCTGCGGCCGCGGCTACTCGGATGCAATTGCAGCCCACCTCTGTGATTGCGTGCAAGGATGTGATTGCCTTCCACGCCGAAAGCATGCAGACGGTAGAGAACATGATTGGCCTGGACTACAACGAGGAGCCCGCCGATCAGCTCTTGGACCCTCAGCTGTGGGTTGAAGATGCCAAGCTCAACCAGATGCGAAGAAGCGGCATCAAGCATGCGCGCGTTCGCCTCGACCTCGGCGACATTTACTTTATCCCTCGTCGGGTGGTGCACCAGTTCAAGACGGTTGCCGCCAGTGTTAGTGTCACTTGGCATCTCCGCTACAAGCGCTACCGCGAGTTTGCAGACAATTTGGAGATGGGTGTTGCCGCCGCAGCTGGCTCTGGACCAGGCATGATGTCGAACGGCGCGCCACGCAAGCGGTCACGCATGAGTTCGATGAAGAGCATGCGGTAACTAGAAATGGACCGGTTTGCAACTTGGCATCTCATTTTCTTTCACAACCCTCTCGATCCAAACTGCTGTCGAGTGCGTGTGCATCTTGTTGCCAATCGCGTTGTGTGTTGTTAAGCTTGTTGGAGATTGAAATGATAAACTGCTGTTGTTGAATACAATGTATATTCTAAACTGACAATGGTTCAATTCACCCGTGCAATGCTTCTCTTCTTATCCTTCCACTATCCTGGAGTTTGAAGTTTGCCTGACGACGATGGACGAGCTCAGTTGTTTAATTCCAACATCGCCGTTGCTCTCTGGTCTGGTGGCTGAATCGGAATCGGATGGAGAGTGAATCACCATTGGCTGTCGCCGCGGCTTCGGTTGCCGTCGCCAGCAGCACCTCCCCGCCACCCAGCGACCTCCCAGCGCATCGAAACACGCCGCCCGCTGCCATTGCTGCTGGCACATCCGCCACCGTGTCCTGCCGCAGTCCGTCCTGCGCAGTGAGTGGTTTTGAATTTTGCGACCATTGCACTTACAATGCATCTTCCATGGAGCCCCCCGACCATCCCAGTCTTCGAGCCCGTCTTTGCTATGCGCGTGTGTGCAGTGCGTGTAAAGGGGCCTGGATGGTCTGGATAGGACGAGTCTCGCTTCTGGGTGGGACTTGTGCTCGGTCACCATTCTCAGTGACTCGGGGTCGTCCCCCAGTCTCCATCCACCATCTGACATGGTGCTGCTGATGCTGGGTTTTTTTTGGCTTCGTATTCTCACTGCCTACGCTTTGTTTGCTGGTTTGTTTTGTGTATCGGGGGGCGGGGAAACAGGCGATTCGACGGCAGCTCGAGACTTGCATCCTCGAGAACGACATGATGCGCGAGACAATCGCCACTTTGCGAGCGTTGCTCAGCGCTGAGCACTCTGCTGCAGTCCCGGGTGCTGCAAATCAAGGTAATCGCTCCATGCAAGTGAGAAGCGTGAAGTGGAGCGCAAGATTTGGAATTGTCCAACTCAACGGGCTGCCGGTGATTCTCTTTTGGGCCACAGGACGTCCAACACCAGATCCTACGATTGCCCTGACATCCTCGCAACATCACGACGATGACGCTCGGACAAATGCGCGCGCCAAAGTGCCCTCGATTTCGTCGCCAACGGCGCACACTCCATAGCCGCCTCCGCCTCCGCTCACACTACACCACCTCATACTCCTCATCCTCCTCATCATCCTCCTCGTCCTCTTCCTCGACCTCCGCCAGCTCGTCGCACGGCCCTGCGAAAGGCATGTTTGCTGGAATGTCAGCTGCATTGACGTCGGCCAAGAATCGGATTGTTGCAACGGCACAAAACTCGTCCTCGGCGTCCTTCGCGACGCCGCTTGCTTCCGGGGGCTCGCCTTCGCCAGCGCACGGCACTCGCCATTCGTCGGCAACTAGCGGGCACGTCGGACAAGAGCCCACCTTGGCTCCGACACCACAACCAGTACTCACACATTCTCGCGCCCGTTCTCCAGTTGCCCCAGTTGACACGCACACATCGCCGACCGTCTTTTCTCCTGTAGAGTCGCAGGATGGCGAAGAACCCGGGATCCACGGCGCACATTCCCGCCAAGCTTCGTCCTTGAGTGATAGCGGCTCCCTCCATGCTCCAGACCGGGATCGAAAGGCATCCGTCACCTCCAGTTCCTCTGCCTCGCACCTGATTTCCCACATGCACGCAGAGCGCAAGGAAAAGACCATGGTTGACGTCGAGCACGAGCGCGTGCCAGCAATCGAAAGCGTGTTGGAGACCGATCCTGATGCGCGATTCATGAAGCGATTTGTGCGTCAAATCTTTGCTAGTTCTCTCCCAGCTTCCACGAGCTCCTTCTCGACCAGTCTAACCGACTTGTCGCGATCGGTCAAGGTCGATCAAGGCGAGCGCCGCGACGGCGACGCAGGCGCTACAACAAGCAGCGATGACCTGGCTGATTCGGGTGATGAAAGCATCACCGAGGATGACAAGGCCCGATTCGCCGAACTCTGCCAGCAGGAAAAGGGCCGAGCTTGGTATTCGCGGCTTCTTGACAAGCAACGCGCGAGTACCTTGCGCGTTGAAGAAATGACGTTTTTCCGCCTAATCCAGTTCACCGCGGTGGCACTGCACGAGTGCACGCTCGCAGACGATTTTATGCCGGCCAAGATTCTGATGAACATGTGCTTCACATTCTATCACCTCAACGATCAGGGGGACAAGGAATACCTGCAGTCGGCCCTGTCGTCTCAGCCAATCTGGCAATCCCTCCGCTTTTGGACGGCTGCGTACTTTAGTGCCATTGCGTCCGAACAAGCCAAGCGGACGGACGAATGGGCTACTCTCAGGTATTGGGGGTTTGTTCTGGTTTGCGTTGAGCGAGCAGTTTTGTACTGTGATTTAACTTTTGTCTATTTCTTTTCCTCTTTTCAACTCTCAATGCATTAGTGAGGAGCAACGCCAAGACGCAGTGGTGTGCGACCAAAACGCAGCTTTTGGCCAGCTCGCAACCTTCACAAACAACATGCTCGCACTAGGTGTCGGGCGGCACATTTGCGAGACGTTCCTGGACAAGATGGCGACGGTCGGCAACATCACTCCTGAGCAGCACGCCCTATTAGTCTCCAACATTGACACGCTCGCCCCGCGACGCCTCGTCAAGGTCTTGTTGGAAAAGCAGCCGGCTGGCGGCTTTGGCTTCTCAATTGAGCCCATTGACGAGGACATGGTGGTGACTTCTGTGCGCAAGAATAGCGCTGCCGATGCCAGCGGCAAACTTGCGATCGGAGACTGTGTTGTATCGATCAACTCGCACAAGGTTCGCAAAATGTCGCTCAAGGAAGTCACGCACGTTATGAAAGAGGTTGCCGTGCAACCCAAGCTGGAGCTGCTCGTTCAAAAGCGCTAGATTCAGCACAGCCAGCACTCTACCGACGACCTTCTTCGAGCTCGTCTTTCAAAGCACCTGCTTGGTGCTTGGTACGAAACAAGCGTCGCTATCTATTGATTCGTTGTGGTTGTTCCAGTTTCCCTAATAAAAATCACGATAGCATTGTCTCCTTGTTTATTCGTTTATTCAGTTGCCTTTTGAAACCTATCGAATTTCTGCGTTTCTTTGGTTCTCAGAACATTGCATTGTATTGCAGTCTTCATCCTTTGCTGTTTGTTCGTTCAGGTTTTTCCTTGTCTCTTTTCTTGTCATTGTGCTCTTTCGCCGAGGTCTGTGAGTACGAGGCATTTGCATTGCTTGCATAGCCCCCTCCCACGACCGTTGCACCTTGCTGTGTTGGTGGCTGCGAGCAACTCGTCTGAATCACTTTCCACGTCAGTTTGAGCAACACGAATTCCCACCGAACGACCCTGCACAGCCCCGTCCTGTCTGGCTGCGCTTGTTGGCCAAATCTCCTTGTCACCCTTGCGTGGGGCATGCGGAGTCATGAGCGGCCATAGGAGAGAAGGACTTGGTGAAGCGAGACGGTGACTTGATGACGTCGTGGTCGTTTCAACCGCCACGTACCCTCTTTCTCCCCCCCCTTTCGCCTTCACTCCCCCACAGTCCCACAACGAGCAACACTGATATGAAACCACCCTCGAGTGTGAGATTGGACGCGACCCGTTGAGACTCATTTTCGTGTGTTCGTTCTTGAATTCAAACCAACAGCTAACGCCGTATTTTTTTTTTATTGTTTTTTTTTTTCCAACAGCTAACGCCGTATTTTTTTTTTATTTTTTTATTTATTTTTTTTTTTTTTTGTTCTTCGCCGTTCAGAGTCCCGCTTTCCGAGCCCTCGAGTCGTTCGTTCGTTGGCTTTTTTTTGCTACTACGTGTCTTGCCTGATTTTGTGACCAGCTTCCTCTTGCTGCCTTGCACAATCCCCCAAAAGCCATGGTGATTGCAGTTGTTTCCAGTGCCGTTTGGTAAGGATTTGAAACAAAGTCAAAACCAGCGCAAAACATACATCCAGCGTTGGTGTTTGAATCAGTCGTCGCAATCATCACCACAAGAATGCTCAGGGGCCGTGTTGAATGCTCATCCAGTTCGTGACTTTTGCCCCTGTTTTTCAACAACAGCAACGTCGTCAGCGTGGCATACCCAGCTTACGCTTCGTTCAAGGCAATCAAAACCAGAAATATTGTCGAGTACCAGCAATGGATGATGTACTGGATTGTCTTTGGTTTCTTCTCAGTCGCAGCCCTTGTGCTCGATGCCCTGCTTGGGTCGTGGTAAGTTGTCACGTCAGCAGCCAGCCGATTTTGGACCACCCAACCTTTTTTGTTGTTTTTGTTTTTTAACCCGTTTTATTTCCGCACTGCCATTAGGTTTCCTCTGTACAATGAAATCAAAATGCTCTTTGTGCTTTGGTTGATGCTGCCTCAGACCAAGGTACGAATCCGAAGCGGATGACGACATTTCTGCTCCGAAAGCGGCAGCACGCTCATTTGTTTTGTCTGGCTTCTTGTCCGTGCATGATTAGGGCGCTGTCAACATTTACAAGCACTTTCTTCATCTTAAGCTCGTGGAGAACGAGCAAATTATCGATGCAACAGGCAACGCTGCATACATGGCAGTGCGTCACATGTCCTTGGAATCGGCCAAGCGATTTTGCATTCTCGTTCAACAGGCCTTCGTCCAAGCGCTTGCCAATGTAGGTCTTTGGTTTTGCGAGATGGTTTTGCGAGATGATTGGTTTTGTTTGCCCAAGTGTTTGCTTGCCTCAGTGTTTTGCTTGCTTGCTGACAACCCCTTTTCGTGTTTTTCGTTTTTTTACCCAGGGCCAGCACGTCTTCTTCCAACAACTCAATCACGCTCAAATGTTGCAACAACATCAACAGCATCAACAACTGCAGCACCCTCAGGGTCAGCTGCAAGGACCTGAGGCCTCTGCTCGCCAGCGGCCAATGTCCTTGGTTCTCGAAGAACTTCCCGACGACTATGATGTGTCCCAGCCTCTGTCTGTCCGAAGCATCCGGCCAGAGCCATCTCATCCAGCCAACTTCTTTTCTGAAAATGATGCTGCGGCGTTCTTTGGCCAAATGGACGTGTCCAACGCCTCGAGCAACGCCAGCACTCCGCGAGGCCCGCCTTTGAGCGGCAGCAGCACATCCAGCGAGCCATGGGAATTTGTGGATGTGAGTAGCTTCCGTCCTGTGTTTTCTTTGGCCCTTTGAATTTCAAAACCCCTTCTTGGTGTTTGTTTGGTTTGGTTTTTGGGCTCACAGCAAATGCTTCAAACAGGAATCTGTGCGATTTCGCGCCCAACAGCAACAACAGCAGCAGCAACATCCCCAACCCCCTCAATCGGCTCATCCTACCTCTCACTTGACGACCGCGGCTGCAGCCTTGCGTCAACGCTTCGGGCGCACGCCGCCGAATAAGCGCGCAGCCACTGCTCCGTCTGATCAACTTGCCGCGGCGCGCGCAGATGCCAGCCCTGTTTCATTTGGGGAAGTCACTCCCCCTGCTCGCTCTCGCCCCGTGTCGCAGTATGGAGATGCGACCAGTGTTTATGAGACGTCGCCCATAACGCCTCCGTCTCGGCCCGCGCCGCGTCCAGTTGGTGACAACGACCACGTCGACCGCCTTACAGAGCACGAGAACAACCTGCGACGACTCAGACAGCATGCGGATCAGCTCGCTGCCAACCAAGCAGAAGCGCTTCGGCAGCTGCAAGCCTCGTCATCGTCTTCGTCCTCGTCGGCGCCCGCACCCGCTGAGCCGCACAAGTCGTCTTGGTTTTGGTAGCGCGTTGTTTTGCTTGTCGTGTAGCCATTCGCATGCGAATACAAATGCCAGTTTGAACAACTGTGGATATCAACGAACGACGGTTGAAAAAATCAGTCTTAGTTTTTTTTTTTTTTTTTGTTTTTTTGTTTTTTGTTTTTTCCAACTATGGTTTGTCTGGCTTTTTGTGTTTTCGCCCTTCCAATGCAGTTCTTTGAAGTGTGTACTTTGTAATTCAATTGAGTGAGTGCTTACGGCCCCATTGATCCTTTGACGACTCATACAGGCGACTGCGGCTGACAAGCTGGTTGGGACGGTGCTGATCCTCATTGGGCTGATCACCTTCCTCTACTACTCGACCTGGGTTCTTGTTCTGGTAGGCGAAACAGCGTTTGCACAACAACATGCCAACGTGTTGGGACCACTGCTGCGCAAGAGGAGAGGCACACTGAGGCAGAGGCCTGGGCATGCATGAAACGTCCTCTTCTGTGCAATGCGCGTCCTCCATCGAGCAAAGTGGCTGCTCATGTCGGCGTTGGCATCACGAGAGGTCATCGCTGTGCTTTACAATTGGCAGACGTTGGTGGTGAGCAGTTGAGTGCAAGGAAGGCAAAGGCAGACAACGACGTACCAAAATGAAAGCGATTCTGAGATTTGGCTGGAGAACAGTCCAATACAGTAGTGCCACGGACAGCTAGCGTTGGGGACTCGCCAAGTACTGTACTAACTTGTTCGTGACTTGTTTTTTTTGACTGTGTTTTTGCTCTAGCCTTTTGTCGATCCAAGCCACCCATTACAAGCCTACTTCCTCCCTCGACCGTACACGGTCATCGTGCCTGGCTTGCTCCTGGTGGGTGGTGTTTCTGCCATCGCTGCATTCTTTTATCTGATCAAGTCGCGTGCTGCTCGCGCAAAGGCTGCTGCCACGCCCAACGCTCCTGCTGCGAACAAAGTCAAGGCGACTTAGGATGTTTTTTGGTGAATCTGCTTGGCATGATTGTTGTTCCTGCTACATACAAGGCTTTTTTGTTTGTCTCTCGTTCCTTTGACAAGCGATGGCTTGCACGGCGTGTGTCTGTGTTGCAGGCGGAGCGCAGCGTCGATGATTTCAAATTTATCTGATTTTATCTGATTGATCCTGATTTCGAGTGTGGTTGTCTCTACGACCGCCAGTCGACTGTGATCAACAACCGGTCCTTGTGCTCGACATGCTTTTTGGCGCTTATTTCTGGCCACAGATTTTGTTTTATGATGGATAAAAGCGTGAAAGACAAATCTTCGGTTCGTCGCGTCGCATGGTCGCGCTCCAGCAAAACTCCCTTACCGAGCAGTGCAAGTAACCGAACAAAGTATATGATCAAACTTCCTCCGACCACTTGCACTGCTGATTTCCAATCGGTTTTTCACCGCGGATTCCGTCCGGCTGACAGGTTGGAGCTTTTCTTTTCAATTCCTCCACTCGTCCCTCCATATATTCTTTTGTTTTCTTACCCCGCATCCTGATCTCCTCTCTTTTCCGTCGTCCAACCGCCGCCTGGTCCTTGATGTAGGTCGACAGCTTGACTCTCTCAGTCTCTTTTTTTTTTTTTTTTTTTTTGGGCAAAAGTTTATTTCTGTGGATTCAGTGATGACTTGGGGCGACGAGCTTTGGGTACATTGACTCTTCTCCCTTTCCTCCCACCCCCTCGCCTGCGCATTGTCGTGCCTCGCCCACCAGCCAGTTTGCATCCCCCCCCCCTCCCACTCCGCGCTTGCGGCTGAATAGAATCGAGCGCGGTTCCAAATTTCTTGCCAAAATCATCGACCGTCCCCCGTCATGTCATTTTGGTGCATGTCAGCAGCGGCAAGCAGCATCCAGTCGACTCGCAGTCGCTGAGTGTAGCGAGGCAGCGTCGGCGGGTTCCCCCCCCCCATCTCAAGCGCGAGAGCAGAGTGTCAGAACAAGATCAAACCCAAAAAAAAAAAAAAAAAAAAATGTCACGTAAAAAAAAAAAAAGGCGACGACAAGCTGATGTGCTTTGGCCGGGCCAGCTTGGCCAGCTCGTTCGCCAAAGTGTCACTCAAACCACAAAAACACATCAATGGCGAAAATGTGAAAATGCAAAGCCCCTTTTGGGGGGTGGCCAGAAGCGGGAGGCTGCAGACTCAACTGTGGGCAGCGATGGAGCGAACCAAAAAAACCAAAAAAAAAAAAAATACGAACAATACAAAAAGTACTGGAAAAAAACACAATGGAAAAGCCAAAAAAAAAAAAAAAAAAAAAAAAAAAAAAAAAGCATGCGAACAAAAGCTATTTTTTTTTTTCAGTTTTTTTTTTTTTTTTTTTTTTTGTTCTGTCTGTTCCTTCACTGGTGCTTCAATCATGACAATGCTGCTCCTTTTTGTTTCTGACTGTTGCAATGGTGCTCACGGTTTTTTTTTTTCGTTTGAACCTTGCAGGATCAAAATGACGCGATCGCCAACCACACGCAAGAAGGCGTCGAGTTCTTGAACACGTACGCCAAGTTCTTGAAGGAGCGAGCACGAATCGAGTCCGAGTTTGGCGGATCCATCCGCAAGCTGGTCAAGCAGTTCGTGTCCGACACCATCCCCACCAAGAAGAAGGGCGAGGCTGACGAGCAGAGGTAGGGACCGGAGCGATTGGTGCGATGGTGCGTGTTGTAGTGTAGGAAAACTGTGCTGATCTTGCTGTGCATCGCCACCCAATCTCCGCCTCTTTAGCACGGGCATGCGCGCCTGGGCAACACTGCTCAGCGAGACCGAGGACATTGCCAAGCAGCACGAAGTCATTGGCGAGACGCTTTCCAACTCGCTGGTCGAGCCGGCCAAGAACCTTGCCAAGGACGTGAGCGCAGAGCGCAAAAAGGCAAGTCGTAGCTGGAGTCTGGAAGGCCTGGTTTCGTGCAGCTGGCAAACGGGGATGCCACGTTTTGATGTGACAAAACTAATTTTCTGCTTTGCGAAATTTCTCTTGCTTTCCCCCCCCCCGCGCGCGCGCCCTCCCTCGGTGTAGCACCTTGCTGAGAGCGCTCGCTTGCAAGCGAACATGAAAAAGCAATTGGATGATTTGGACAAGGTACGCGCGTTTCCGTTTGCTTGCCATCCGTTTTTGCGCATTTTTTTTTCTTGTTTGTCACTTATTGCGCATTGTCTGCCGGATTTGCAGGTCAAGAAGAACTATGAAAAGTGCTGCAAAGAGGCCGAGGCTGCCAAAATTGCTTACGAAAAGGCTGGCAAGGACATGAACATGACCAAAGCACAAGAGGACAAGTTCAAGGTTACTTGGCAGCAAAAGCAAAAGCTTGCCGAAGATGCGCAAGCAGAGTACTTGATTATGGTCGAGAAGACCAACCAGGTCCGGAAAACGTACTACTACACCGACATGCCATCTGTGTTTACTGTAAGGATTTTGTTTTGTTTTTTTGCTTTGGTTTTCGTCATGGAGGCATGGGAGAGAGCCTCATTCCTACTGGCGCATTCTCAATCTCGTCAATCCGTGTTGTCTCGTGTGTCAGGCTATGCAGCGAATGGAAGAAGACCGAACTGCCAAAATGGCAACCATGTTCGCCCAGTACGCTGATGTGGAGCGAAGCACCATGTCGATTGTCACGACCTGCCTGAACAACATGACTACCGAGGCTGGCAAAGTGCAGCCATCCCGCGACACTCAGCTCTTTATCGAAGACCACAAGAGCGGATTCCAGATTCCGGCCGATGTGCAGTACGCCGAGTACGGCGCCAAGGCTGTCGCGGTATGTTTCGGACGTCCCTTTGTTCTGTTTCTTGCGTTGCACACCTATCTGTTTGCCACAGTATCATTGCCCTCATTTCCTGCATTTTGTTGTTCTACTTTTTGAATATCTCGCGTAGCCACCGCCTTCTGCTGCCATTGCTCGCGTTGGTACCACCAAGAAGAAGACGGGTGGTCTGTTTGGCAAGAAAAAGAAGGTACGAGGTCGGCTCAAACCTTGCCCAAAACAAACACAAAAACGCGGACGGTTTGGTCGCCTTAGAGTACCCCTCAAACCACAATCATCCTCGTACTAACTCTGATGCTCTATACACTGTACAGGACGACGGTAGCGATGACTTTTCGGACCTGCCGCCGGAAAAGCGCAAGAAGCGCATCGGCCAAAAGATTACCGAGCTTGAAACAGAAATCGGCAAGGAGCAAAAGAAGAAGGACAGCTTGGACAACATGATCAAGCTGTACACGGAAAAGCCACAGCTCGCTGACGAGAAGGCCATGGCGGAGGCTCGCCAACAGCTGGCCGAGACGGCAAAGACAATGGATTCGCTCGGCAAGGAGCTGTACAAGTTCCAGTGCTATCTGGCTGCGTTCGAGAATATGGCTGGAGGGGCGCCTGCCACCCCGTCTCGAGGCGGCATTTCGCGCATGGAGAGTGCCTCGAGCTCGCAGCAAGACGAAGACGAGGACTTCCCCACCCAGTCATGTCGCGCACTGTACGACTTCGCCGCCAGCGGCGAGGGCGAGCTCAGCTTGACTGCCAACGAAACCTTGACGCTTCTCGAGAACGACGGCAGCGGGTGGGCTCGTGTCGCTCGTGGCGACGACGAAGGCTACGTTCCCGAGTCTTACATTGAGATCATTTAATTTTGTGTTTTGTTTTTCGGAGGTGAAGACTGTTTTTTGCGCATGCTCGTCTCTGTTTGCTTTTTGTTTGTTTGTCTGTGGGGCCCTTGGTTGTGGCCCGTTGTGCTGCTGCTGTTGACTGCTTGGAGCCATCGTAGCTTTTGCGTGTGGTGTGATTTGTGTGTGTTTTTGTGTATGTTTCCTGAAGTTGTGTCAATCGATTTTGATGCTTCCTTTTCCCTTTTTTTTTTTTTTTCCACACCAATGGAGAAGGCTCACTTTTTTTTATTTGGTCCATTTCCATGTCGAGCAAAGCAGCATCATCGTCGGCTCCCAAGGCAGCGGCCGTCACGGGCGAGTCCATTTTTGTCAACACGCACCTGTTCATCATCGAGCTGCTGTCGGACCAGGACAGGCTGGTTGCGTACCTGCGCGAGACCGATCCTGCGGTCATTGTGCCCATCGTGGTGTTCCTCCTGACGCTGGTCTTCAGCTCGAGCAAGGGCAGGTCGATCTCGTTCGGCGATCGCCTCGTCGGCTGGTGGCTGCTCTTTAACGGAATCCTGATCCATCTCTTCCTCGACGGGTAACCAAAAACAAAAATGCCGCTTTTGCATTGTCCATCATCAACACTCACTGAAGCACGCGTTGTTTTGGTCTGGCTTCCTCCTTGGTCTGCGCTCTTGGGTCTGCGCTCTTGGGTCTACTACGCCTTGTGGCGCGGACTTTACAGAATGGTCGGCTTCCTCAAGCGCATGCCCTCGCTCTACGAAGAGTACGGCCGCCTCGATCGCCGCTACCTCGAGCGCGATCCGTTCGTCATGGTCATCTCACTGTGCGAGCTGGTGGTGTACACCCCGCTGTGCCTGTGGGCGTACCGCGCTCTGCACCGCAACGACGCCCTCACGCACCCGCTCATCATCCTGATCAGCGCCATTCAGTGGACCGGAACTTGGGTCTTTGCAGGTGCAGAGATCTTTGCCGACTTCCCCAACATTCCCGCAGACCTCAACCTCGAATTCAAGAGCCACCACATCATCCACTTCTGGGTCTTGTTTGTGGCCGCCAACGCGCTCTGGACCTTCCTCCCGATGTACCTCATCTATCGCTCGTCCGCCGCGATCGCCAAGCGTCTTCGCGAGGCCGATAAGCTTGCGAAAGACAAGTAGAGCAAGAAAACCTCGGGCAACCAATTGCTGCTGCGAACACTTGGTCCAAGGCGTTTTGGTGTTTGGTTTTTTGTTTTTTATCTTTTGGTGCTCGCATCCTGAGCGTGTAATCATATTCTACGAGACATGTTATTTTGCATTGCGTTTATTGGAGAGTGGAAAAAGCTTCTAAAGCTGAAAAACCACCAAGCGAAGGAACAAAATCAGGTGCAAAGATTGACTTGTGGGGATGGACTGAAGGAACGGTTGGTGCAAAAGCGCCCCTGGTCATGCGGGCGCTACTCGTCGGCAACTCGGTTTGCTCAAGCTCACGCGGGGGGGGGGGGGGGTTGGCGGTAGGAGTGAAATGATGAAGGCCTTTTTCGTAGGACCTGACGAGATGCACTTTCCCCACATCTTCAAATGTGGCAAGAGTCGATGGGCGCAAGCGTTTGTCAAATCAGCTTCAACTGCTTCAACGCTTTGACCTGGTCTGGAATCTCCATCAGTGCGCCCAAAGCCAACGCGCAATCCGCGTCTTGTTGGTTCACAAAGCGCGCCACTGTCCGATGGTACTCGACAAACTGAAAGTTATCAAACTGGCGCTGGGGAAGATTGTCGTCCTACACAAGCGCCCCAAAAAAAGAAGTGAACAGCTGCACGACGATCGCGGACAAGGAGCAACAAGAAGAACAGCACGTACAAAGTCTTCCATCATGTCCCAGGGACCGTCACCCACGCCAATCATGACGATCGCGATAGGATAGCGCGAGGCCTCCACAATGGCGTCGATCGTCTCTTTCGGGTTTGACACCTGCAAATGCATCAAAGTTTGTGGCCAAGGTGAGCGTTCAAAGACAAAGACACACACACACACACACACACACACACACACACACACACACACACACACACACACACACACACACACACACACACACACACACACACACACACACACACACACACACACACACACACACACACACCTCCCAAGCAATGGCGCGCAGACATACCTGACCGTCGGCAATAATCACCAGAATGTGGAACATGTTGCCGCTCTCGTAAGTGTCTTTGATCGCCTGTCGGATAAGTGGCGCAAAACTTGTAGGGCCGTTCAGCCGGAGGTGCGGGACAATGGCCTTGTATCGCTCTTGAATTTGCTCAATGCCCTTGCAAGGACCGTCCGCCAGAAACGGGAAGACTTGCCGGTCCTTGGTGGTAATGTCTCCAAACCCGTAGGCAGGAATCAGGTTGTCTTCATCAAAAGCCGCGAGCGTGCGACCAAGCGCGCTGATCACATTCTGGTACGGATTGAGGGTCTCTGTAGTAGAGAAACGAGAAAAGAAAAAAGACCAGAGCGTGGGCATCAACCACCAGCGACCACAGCAGCACCACGCCCAAACAAAACGCATTCGACACGCCGTACCTCCAGATGGGTCTAGATAGTGCAAGGATCGCTTGCCAAACGTTACTTCGCCCTGGCTGTGGTTCGAAGCGGTGAAATCGATGCCTGCAACCACCACCACCAATTGCGTGCTCCCATTGTTAGGAAAGCAAGAACCGACCAACCCGTCATTTTTGGTTGACGTTACGCATCTGCAAAGCCGATCGAGGCGCGCACGACTGACCGAAAATCAGGTTGCTGGACTCGAGGCCCGCCTTTCGCAGCGCTGCTTGGACCTGGTCGAGTGTCTTGAACTGGTCCACTACAATGCAGACATTCAAAGTTTGAATTCTGAATGAGGTGTCTGATTTTGCGTTGCCAGCTCAGCAAATTGTAAATCTTGGCAGTGAACGCGCCATTCACTCTCTTTCTTTCTCTCTTTCTCTCTTTCTCTCGCTCTCTCTCTCTCTCTCGCGCGCGCGCTCACACAAAATGGTCGATGGAGTGCGTTGATATTGACGTACACCTACCATTCGTCAGCCAGCTTGGAGTGGAAGCAGCTCGCCCGGCTTGCGGGGGTTCGAATGGAGCAGAGGCGCGCGGCCAACCCCGCAAGGGCTTCCAGAACTGTGCAACGACAAGGATGACGAGCAACGCAATCACGATGCCATTCAGTGGGTCGACGGGGAGGTCCTTGAGCCACCTGCTCCAGTCAAAGTTGTTCTTGTTCATTTCTCAGAATGTTTGATCAATCCAGAGGAATTAAAAAGAAGGACTGCCTCGAAACAGAGTCGATTTCGATTTAGATGATATGAGTCTCGCGTCCCACTATGTATACATCAATAGAGTTCTCAGAATCGAGCTTCTTCTATTGCCACAGTCTTCTTAATTTTGTGGTGTTTGTGTGTTTCGTTTTCTCAGATTTTCATCGCTTTTCTGCTTTCACTGAATCTCAAAGCACATCCTCCACCTGTGAAGCTACACAACGCGAAAAAACAAATAAATGGCCGACCGAGCTGCGCTGACGCAGTTTGTGAGCGACCAGCTGTTTGAGCTGCTCGGCATGTCTGAGCGGGTGATGGTTCAGTTTGTGCTCGCGCAGGCCAGTTCAGCCAAGTCGGCTGCTGGACTGCATGCCGCGCTCCGAGAGACGCTGCCGGACGATCCGCGGTCGCTGACGTTCGCCACCGAGCTGTTCAACCGCATGCCCAGGAATGTGCAGGCCATGCAGCACCAGCAGCGGCTGGAGCAGGAACGGCAACAACGTCGCAGCGACGAGGCCCGCGCAAAGCAAGTCCAGCTGCAGAACAGCAAGACCCGCATGATTATGGACGAACCTGCTCCTGTTGTTGCTGCTGCTGCCACTGCTGCTGCTGCTCAGATCAAGCCATCGAGCGCGACAAAGGCGGCGGGATCCGAATCGACCGCCGCCACATCCAATGTCACTTCAGGCGGAAGTCGTGTCAAGCGGCAAATCCGCAGCCGTGAAGACGATGGTCCATCATCATCATCATCATCAGCATCTTCATCATCGGGGCATGGCAAGGAGGCATCGCAGCAGCAGCAGGTGGAATCGGACGAGGACGACGACGATCACGCTGCTGCGCGGATTGAACGCGCGAAACGAGCGCGCTACGAACGTGCCGCTGGCTCGGCTGCTTCGGAAGACGCAGACATGCAGATCACTGCAGACGAAACGGAAGAGGAGCGCCGTGAACGCGAGAGAGAGCAAGATCTTGCAGAGCGTGACGCTTTTGCTGAGCGAATGCGAAACAAGGACAAGGAACGAACGGCAAGCACCGCTGCTGCTGCCGCTGCTGCTGCGTCCGAAAGTCTACCAGAGTCGTTTGTCCAACCAAAGTCGGCAGCCGAGCGACAGCAGGAAATTGACGCATTGCGCAAGGCGTCTCGGCGGCGCTACATTGGCGAGCGGCAAGAAAAGAAGCTCTCCGAGCTCCGCAAGGAAATTGAGGACGAAGAGCGGCTGTTTGCTGGCGTCTCGTTGACCAAGCGCGAGAGGGAGGCGCTCGATCAGAAAAAGCATCTGCTGGCCCTTGCAGAGGAGCACGAGCGAGCCAAGGAAATGGAGAACGTCGACACGTACGTCATGCCAGACGCCTACATGGACGAGAAGAAGGGCCAGCGCGATCGTGCCAAGCAAGAGTCGCTGCTGACAACCCGATACTCGGAAAAGGGCAAAAAGAGCGCCGACAGCGACGCAGGCACCCGCTGGTCTGAGCAACAACGGTGGGAGGACGAGCAAATCAAACGTTCCATCTCGAGCAAGGGCGCAGCAGGTGGTGTCTCGGCCTCTGATCAGTTCATTTCCGAGACTGACGAAACCACTGGTCTGTTGCTGGCCGACCAGGTCGACTTTGTCCTGTCGGGCAACATTTCCGGCACCGTGTCCAACGACAAGAATGCCAGCGCGTCGCTCGTTGCCACCGCTGCGGCAGCAAAGCAGCTACTCGCAGAAATGAATGCAGGAGGCGAAATGGACGAGCGCAAGCGCAAGGAAAATGCACACAAGGAACACCGAGCGCAAATCAAGGCTACCCGCGAATCCCTCCCTCTCTACGAGTATCGCACCGATCTGCTCGACGCCATTCGCGACCACCAAGTCATCATCATTGTCGCCGAAACGGGCTCTGGCAAGACCACCCAAGTCCCGCAATATCTGGTCGAGGCAGGCTACACGGCCAAGGGCACGAAAAAGATTGGCTGCACCCAGCCTCGTCGCGTCGCTGCCATGTCGGTGGCTGCACGTGTGGCGGACGAAATGGACGTCAAGCTCGGAGCCGAAGTGGGCTACTCGATCCGTTTTGAGGACTGCACGTCGGAAAAGACCGTGCTCAAGTACATGACGGATGGCATGCTGCTGCGCGAGTTCTTGTCCGAGCCCGATCTCGCGTCCTACTCTGTCATGATGATTGACGAGGCGCACGAGCGCACGCTCCATACGGACATTTTGTTTGGGTTGGTGAAGGATGTGGCGCGGTTTCGGCCCGATCTCAAGCTCCTGATCTCGTCGGCGACGCTGGATGCCGAAAAGTTCTCAGACTACTTTGACAAGGCACCCATCTTTACCATTCCTGGTCGACGGTTCCCCGTGGATATCTACTACACAAAGGCGCCTGAGGCCGACTACTTGGATGCCGCCGTAGTCACTGTTCTGCAAATCCACATGACCCAGCCCGCTGGCGATATTCTCGTCTTTTTGACGGGCCAGGAAGAAATTGAGACGGCCCAAGAGGTCTTGCAGGATCGTGTCAAGCGTCTCGGCAAGGCCATCCCCGAACTCATCATCTGCCCAATCTACTCGACATTGCCGTCTGACATGCAGACGAAAATCTTTGAGGCTGTGCCCCCGGGCGCCCGCAAAGTGGTGCTTGCCACGAACATTGCCGAGACATCGCTCACCATTGATGGCATCGTGTACGTGATTGATCCCGGGTTTGTCAAGCAAAAGTCGTACAACCCACGCACCGGCATGGAGGCGCTGCTCGTCACCCCAATCTCCAAGGCATCCTCCAACCAAAGAGCCGGCCGCGCAGGTCGCGTGGCTGCGGGCAAGTGCTTCCGCCTGTACACGTCGTGGGCTTTCCAGAACGAGCTCGAAGAGTCGACCGTGCCGGAAATCCAGCGGACCAACTTGGGAAACGTCGTGCTGCTCCTCAAGTCGCTCGGCATCAACGATCTGATTCACTTTGATTTCATGGACCCGCCGCCCTCCGAGACGTTGATTCGAGCCCTGGAGCAGCTGTACGCCCTTGGTGCCCTGAACGACCGAGGCGAGCTGACCAAGCTCGGCCGACGCATGGCCGAATTCCCCGTCGATCCCATGCTCTCCAAGACCCTGCTCGCCTCTGAGCAGTACCAGTGCCCCGAGGACGTGTTGACCATTGTCGCCATGCTTTCGGTGAACAACGCCATCTTTTACAAGCCAAAAGACCGCGCCATGCTTGCCGACAATGCTCGCAAGAGCTTCTGGCGTCCAGGCGGCGACCACATGTCCCTTTTGAGTGTCTACACGCAGTGGGTCGACACTGACCACTCGACCCAGTGGTGCTTTGAGAACTTTATCCAGTTCCGCTCGATGCGGCGTGCCCGCGACGTCCGCGAGCAGCTGCAGGGCTTGATGGAACGCGTTGAAATTGCACTGACAGCAGAGCCGACCAGCGCCAACAGCGATCCCACCAAGATTGCCAAAGCCATCACCGCAGGCTACTTTTACCACGCCGCTCGCCTGTCCAAGGGCAGCTACCAAACCGTCAAACACTCCCAAACCGTGCACATCCATCCAACCAGCTCCTTGCTCGAGGAACTGCCTCGGTGGGTCGTCTACCACGAGTTGGTGCTCACCAGCAAGGAGTTTATGCGTCAAATTGTCGAAATCAAGCCAGAGTGGCTGATTGAAGTGGCGCCGCACTACTACCAGGCCAAGGAGTTGGAGATGGGCACTGCCAGCACCACTTCGTATGCCGCCAAGCGTCAAGCGGCGATGGCCAAGGCTCCCGAGTCCTGAGGAGTTGTTGGTGATTTGGTTTTCCGAGAGACAAAGAGTTTTTTTTTTTTTTTGCTTTCGGCACGCTACAAAATAAAACTTGTCCAATTGCATTGGATCATCATCATCATCATTGTCTCTCATCAACGTTTGTTCAAGTTTGGGTTGAGGCTCAGTTTCTTTTTGAATCAGACACACACACACATGGCTCTCTTCATTGGCCGCCTGGACCGCGACACTCGCGTTCGCGATCTCGAAGACATCTTCCAGCCCTACGGCCGCCTCGTCCGCTGCGACATCAAGGGCGGTGCCGTCTACAGCTTTGGCTTTGTCGAGTTCGAGGACCGTCGTGATGCCGAGGTCAGTGCCCTAGAACTTGAGAGCAGCAGAAGAGCAACGTTTCAACGTTGTGGCTGCGATTTCGTCGTTGATCCCGTTTCGAATCAGCATGCTCGTCCTCCCTCCCTCCGTCTTGTTTTTGGGGGGGTTTTACTCTGATGGGATTCCGCTTGTGCCATTCGGTGGTGGATTCGCGTGGTCGGTCGGGAGTTGCGTTGCAAAGGAGGGGGAAAACGCGAGCGCGCTTTTTGAAAGGAGATCGTTGGCTTTTTTTTTTTTTTTTTTTTTTGTGCCGTTGTCCTTTTTGTTTTTCCCGCCTCGATTGCTCGCCTTCCTTCCTTCCTTCCTTTGCTGATGCTCGCTGCGTTTTTGTTTTTGTTTTTGCAGGACGCGCTCAACCGTGAGAACGGCCGCAACGTTCGCGGCGTTCGCATTGCCGTCGAGTGGGCCAAGGGCCAGAACCGCTCCGCCGACTCTGACTCGTGCTTCCGCTGCAACAAGCCTGGTCACTGGGCCAAGGACTGCCCCAACCCGCCGACCGACCGTCGTGGTGGCGATCGTGGTCGCGACCGCTTTGATGACCGCCGCGGTGGCTATGGCGGCGATCGTCGGTACGTCCCCGTCTCTCTCGCTCTCTGTGTCTCTCTCTCACGCTCTCCTGCCTGTTGATGTGTTGCTTTGTTGCTCATCTTTGCTCCCGTCGTGTGTCGAATGAACGCCCTTTGCTTTGTTAGTCGCGATCGCTCGCGCTCGCCTCGCCGTGACCGCTCTCCCCGTCGTGACCGCTCGCGTTCCCCTCGCCGCGACCGCTCTCGCTCGCCTGCCCGTGACAACGGTGCTCGTGGCCGCTCTCGCTCGCCTGTCCGCGACCGTTCGCCTGCCCGCGACCGTTCCCCTGTTCGCGAACGCTCTCGCTCGCCCGTTGCCCGCGCAGAGTCTCCGCGCCGTGAAGACTAAATCGACACGCACCAAGTGTCGTCTGTGGATTTGCGAGTACTACTTGCGCGCACTTCCGCATGCTCCTCCATTATATTTTCTTTGGATTCTGAGTGCTATTCAGCATTCAGAGATTTTTTGATTGTTTTTGCTTTCACTATTCACCGCCGTCTTCTCGCTCTCGTTCGCTTCACTGCTCTTCTTTTTGGTTTGTTAAGGTTTCACTGTTGTTTGGTCGTTGTTGTAGCATCCGTTCCTTGATGACCAGCAAGGCTATGGCACGCTGTATTTGTTTCGTTGTTTTGTTGGTGTCCCGTCTCGCGCTCTCGTGGTGCTGGTGCTGCTGCTGCCCTCCGTCTGCCTGCGTATCCTTCTACCGACTCGCTTCAGGCCTGCCTGCGAATACACTTGCCTCCCCCTCCCTTTCCCATTGTCCTAGTCCAACGGTTTCCGGTGCCTTCCGGCCGCCTTCCTCTTCAGTTCCAATAGCCTCCTCCTCCCCCTCCTCCTCCTCTTCCTCCCTTCGTCGCTACCACTGCTGCTGCTGCCGCCATCTGCCAGTTCCCGGCTTTGGTATCAGGGGTTTTTTTGCCACTCGACTTGTCCTCTCGCCAGTTCCCGCCTGTCCTAGTTCTCGTTGCCCTTCTATCGGCAAGGGGATACCGAAGCCATTGTGGAAGCTCCTGGCTGAATGTGGTAAGTCCTCATTCGTTGGGGGAGTGGTTGCTGATGAGAGTGGAGGTTGAGAGTGATTTGGCCGGCAAGTCGTCATGCCGTGGTCCAGTCCTGCTCTGTAAGGCGCCGGCAGGTTACAACGAGGTTGCTTGTGCACCACGCGACTTCCATCACATCGTGGGGCAACGTACCATGCATCTTTGTGCTGCGTTGTTTCTTGGTGGGTTTTTTGTTGTTGTTATTTTTTGTTGTTGTTTCGTTGCTTGCCTGACATTTTGTTCATCCAATGAAAGTCATTGCTTGCGTTTGCAAAAAGCTCAATGAAGCGTGCTCGCGTTCTTTCGCTGAGCTTTGTTCATCCACGATCTGCGCTTCTCAGACCTGAGCGAAACGTTTTTGCGATCAACCCGAATCTGCAGCAGCTGTCGGAAGCGCTCTTGTCTAGTCTGTTGCATTGATGAAAAACGCATCAAGCCGACCATCCCAGCACCATCAGCATCAGCATCAGCATCAGCATCAATTCTTGCTTTCATTCTTTTTTTTTTTTTTTTTTCCTTTTTTTCAATTCCTTGCGATATTATTCTCAGGCACAACACAATCGCTGCCATCCGCTTCCCGTGACTTGCGCTTCTCGTCTTCCGCGATTGTGTATGGCCTCCTTTTGTTCTCTGTGTCTTTGACCTTCCATCCCTGCAGTCAGACGTCCTCTTCTCCGCTGGTGTTCTACCAATGCCAGAATCAAAACGCACAAAAAAATGAGATCCTTTGGACAATTCCGAAAAAGCCTTTAAAAAAATCTCTCTCCGTTCTTCGCAGGGGCTCACGACGTGTGAGTGTCGCGGGGTGGTGGGGTGTTGTGCGGTGTCGGATGTGATCACTTCATTGCCGTCCCTTTTTCCCAAGTCTTGCGACTCCAGGATGGGGCGCCGTCATGCGCTCTCTGAGCTCGTGTCTGGTCTCTTTTTTTTTTTTTTTTTTTTTTTTGAGCGTTTTGTTCGCTTTGTTCGTTCTCTCCAGTCATGCGACTTTTTTGCTGCCTTCACTCTTGCTCGCTCTGACCCACCACTGCTGACCACTTTCACTTCGCTTCGTCGTTCTGTGTCTGTCGATGCAACACTGCGACGAATCTGAAAACCGCGCATCCATCACTCGGAAGAGAACCGACCGTTGATTCGGTTTGTGCCGTTGAATCGTTGAAGCCTAGGCACCTCAACACCCCACTCAACCCTTCAAACAACACCGACTCGGGTTCTGATGTTGGTCGCTCACACCAAATGTGCATGGATTTCACAGATTGCCTTTGGCCGACAAAAGTGTTGCTTTGCGTTTCTCTCGCTTTGCTTCGCCGCCCGCCCGCCCGCCCGTCACTTCCCTAGACCCAGAGCCAACATCACGCAGACCACAAGCGACAAGGAGACTGAAGCGCCATGTCGTCGGTGAAGGTCGCGGTCCGCGTCCGCCCGTTCAACTCGCGCGAGCTTGCGAAAAACTCGTCGTGCATTGTGCGCATGGCAGACAAGTCGACCGTGCTGTCTGCGCCTACCCCGGCACCTGGGCGTGACAAGGAAAAGTCGTTCACGTTCGATCACTCGTACTGGTCGTTTAACGCTCAGGACGCACAGTTTGCCACCCAGCGGCAAGTGTACGAAGACTTTGGCGTCGAGTATCTCGATCATGCGTTCGAGGGCTACAATGTGTGCATTTTCGCGTATGGCCAAACGGGTGCCGGTAAATCCTTCACCATGATGGGTGGAAAGGACAACCCCGGTCTCATTCCGCAGATTTGCGAGGAACTCTTCCGCCGCACCTCGGCCAACACCAACCCCGACTTGTCATACTCGGTCGAAGTCAGCTATATGGAAATTTATTGTGAGCGCGTTCGCGATTTGCTCAGTCCCAAGAACCAGGGCAACTTGCGTGTGCGCGAACATCCCATTCTCGGCCCGTATGTCGAAGACTTGGCAAAGCTTGTCGTCACCTCGTACGAGGGCATTGAAAACCTCATGAACGAAGGCAACAAGGCCCGTACCGTGGCCGCCACCAACATGAACGAGACTAGTTCTCGCTCGCACGCGGTCTTTACCATCCTCTTCACCCAGCGCCGCTTTGACCGCGACACCAAACTAAGCACAGAGAAGGTGAGCAAGATCTCTCTGGTCGATCTTGCCGGCTCGGAGCGCGCCGACGCCACGGGCGCCACCGGCGACCGACTCAAAGAGGGCGCAAACATTAACAAGTCCCTCACCACGCTTGGCAAGGTCATTGCGGCCCTGGCCGACTCTGTCGACTCGACCAAGGCGAAAAAGAAGGGTGCCAAAGGCGAATCCTCGGCAGCCGCAACCGACCACATTCCGTACCGTGATTCCGTCCTCACCTGGCTGCTCAAGGAGTCCCTGGGCGGCAACTCCAAGACTGCCATGATCGCCGCCATTTCCCCAGCCGACATCAACTACGACGAAACGCTGAGCACACTTCGCTATGCCGATCGGGCGAAACGCATCATGTGCAAGGCCATTGTTAACGAAGACCCGAACGCCAAGCTCATCCGGGACCTCAAGGACGAAGTGGCAAAACTGCGCGCGCAGCTCCTTGCTGGCGGCGGCGGTGTGCACGAGCAACTCCAAACATCCGAAAAGCTCATCTCTGAACTCAACGAGACAATGGAAGACAAGGTTCGCCGCACGGAAGCCATTCAGCGTGAGCGTGAAAAGGCGCTTGCAGAGATGGGAATTGCCATGAACGAGGCTGGCGGCGCGGTTGGTGTGCTGGCTCCCAAGAAGCAGCCGCATTTGATTAACTTGAATGAGGATCCACTCATGTCGGAGTGTCTCATCTATTACATCAAGGAGGGCCTCACGCGTGTTGGTCGCGCGGACGCAGAGATTGAGCAGGATGTCAAACTGAGCGGGTTGAACATTCTGCCGCAGCACTGCTTCTTTGAGATGGCAGAGAATGGCATTGACGTGACGATCGTCCCATTCGATGGCAGCAAGTCGTTTGTGAACGGCAACCTCGTGACCGAGCCTGCACTTTTGACGAGCAGCGACCGTATCGTGCTTGGCAACAACCACGTCTTCCGCTTTAACAATCCCGAGCAAGTCCGGCGTGACCGTGAGCTGGCGCGCGAACAGGGAGAGGCCGAGTCGACCCCTGGCCAGGCGGATCTCTTGGCTGCGCCTCTGGACGTCATTGATTGGAAGTATGCTCAGCGCGAGCTGATCTTAAAGCAGCACATGTTCGGGGGTCTCCCGGTCGCCCAGACAGATCTCCCGAACGAGGAGGATTTGAAAAAGAAGCAAGAAGAGGAAGATCGCGCCGTCCAGCTCGCCATGGAGAGCCGCATCAAGGCGATGGAAGGTCGCTTCCAGCAAGAAAAGGAAGAGGCCGAGCGTCTCCTCGACCAACAACGGCGCGAGTACGAGGACAAGCTGGCTTCGTTGCAAAACTCGCTGCAGGAGGCTGCTGCCGCCGCCGAAGCAGCCAAAGCAGCCGGAGATGCAGAAGCGGCAGCGGCAGCGGAAGCAGCGGCTGCGGCAGCTACCGCCGCGGCTGCCGCTGTGGTTGAGCCGCCGGCTGCCCCAGCTCCTGCCCCGACTGATTCCGATCCCTCATTCCTTCCAGTGGCAGCAGACACGCATGTTATTGCCCAACAGCGACCATGGACTGAGCGGGAGTTTACGCTTGCGCGGCGCGTGGCCATGAAGTGGAAGAACTATCGCTTCAGCTCGTTGCACGATCGCCTGCTGTCCATGGCTGTGCTCCTCAAGGAGGCCAATGTGGTCAGTCTCGAGTTGCAAAAGCAAGTCTCCTTCCAGTTTACCGTGCGGAGCGAAACACCGTTTGCGTCGTCCTTGTTTGACAAGCCCAGGCCCGCCGACCTTGCGTACCGCAGCCGCACGATGAGTAGCGTGACCCGCACCCAACCTGCTTCCAGTGGCAGCAGCGCTGTCGAGCCCGCCTCCATTGCAGTTGAAGTGGTTGATCGCAAGCACAACAGCTATGCAGTGTGGACGCTCGCTCAGCTGCAAGAGCGCATTTTTGTCATGCGCGACATGTACAACAACATGAACGAGATTGACGCCGGCGACGCGCATCACAAGCAGCTCCAGCAGCAACAGCAACGGATGCTGCATGCACCACACGAGGCGCATGGCCTGGGGCAGCACGGTTTGATTCGAGACGATCCGTTTTACGACACGCCGACTTGGTTCAAGTACATTGGCCGCAGCTACGTCTATGTCAAAAACCTCGTCTATGGCATCCCCATTGAGCATGTGACTCCGATTGTGAGCGAGCGTGGTCAAGTCCTCGGCATGGTCCGCATTTCCATCGAACCCCTGTTTGATGAGGACGAATCTGTTGCGGAGGCCGATCGCGAAGACAGTGACAGCGACTCGAGCAGCGGTGCGGACACTGGCGACGACGCCATTCCAGACACTGTCAACATTGACGGCAAGCCAGTCACGGGCACCAACACTGGTGCGATTGCTGCACGCCTTGGCCGCAAGCTGCGCGATGAGTTGACTGCCAATCCCCCGACTCCCAACATGCCGCAAGGCGCGTCGTTTGTCACGCCGAGCGCCAAGCTTCGTCGGCTTCAGGTTGGCGACAAGTGCCACTTTGCCGTCAATGTCTTGGAGGCCTTCAACTTGCCACAGGGCTTGTATTCGGATGTCTTTTTCCAATTCCGATTCATGTACGATGACAGCCCAGTGTTTTCCACCGAGCCGTGCACCCACTTTGAGGATGTGTGCCAATTCCGATTCACGCAAAAGATTTGCGTTGGAGCGTCCCAGGGTGTCATGGCCTACCTCCAGCACTTCCCGATGGTCTTTGAACTGTACGGCCATTTCCAGGACCATCCGCTGCATGCGCATGCGGCCCGCCACTGGCAAGCGCAGTCGGCCGACATTTTCGCGGCCGCTTCCCAACGAGCCAAGTCGGCCTCGACGACCACGGAGACCTCCATCCCAGCAGAGCAGGTTTCCATCCCTGTGCCGTCCGGTGCCTCTGCCTCTGCCTCTGCCTCTGCGAACGCGCCCCGACTTTCGACTTCAGTCGCTGCCATCCCTTACAGCGGCGGCGCAGACGTGCTGTTCCACGAGCATCCCGGCGTGCAGACCCCAGCCCAGTCAACGCACTCGCCCTCCGGCACCCCGCGCCAGAGCGTCGACATTCCGCGCACTCCGTCCCGGCCGTCGGCCGAGATGACGCGAGGCCCTGCCGGTGCCTTCTCGCCCATGAACAGTGGGTCTGCTCCCGCTGGTGGCATGTCCACGCCAGGCCGAAGCACATCGAGCTCGTTCACGTCGAACGCGCCTGCCGCATCCTCGCCGCTTTCCATGAACACAATCACGGCCTCGCATACGTCGTCCGGCGCCAGCGAGCCGCCAAAGCACGACTTGCTGGCTTGGTTTGAAATCCGCGAGCTGTCGTCCTCGGGCGAGTACCTGCCCGTGCCAGTTGACCACACAGTGGAGCAGGCTGGAGGCATCTTTTTGCTGCGTCAAGGCCTTCAACGTCGCATTGCGGTGACCATTTCGCACGATTCCGGACCCGGGTTGGTCTGGCACAACATTGTCTCCATGTCGATTGGCGCCGTTCGAAACGCGCGTCGTGATAAAGACCAGGTGCCCGTGTCCATGTACATGCCCATCAATATCATTGCCAAGCCGACACTGCTCAATCGCGAAAACGGCCGGTCGTTCCTGCAGGCCCAGGCCGCGTGGGACAGCTCGCTGCATGACAACCAGCTGCTCAATCGTCTCACGCCTGGCTCAGAGGTCGTTTACTGCACCTTGGCCTGCACCATCTCGGCCGAGCACTGCAGCACGCCCATTACCTTGCGCAAGGACATTCTGCTGCGCATCTTCCCGATTGATGCGCGTCCCAATCCCAACAAGGGCATGTTCGGGGGCCTGTTCTCATCGTCGCAGCCAAAGCGCAACACGGACGCCGTCAGCGGTGTCTTTGAGCTGACTCTTACGCCCCAGCAGCGGCAGCGGTCGGCAACGTCTGTCGTCGACACGTCGACCATTTATGTCCGTGGTGAGGAAAATCTGCGCAGCTGGCGTCCACGCCGTGGATCGTTGTTGTGCGAGCACCAAGCCGAGGCCGAGCACTTGACGCGCGTCTCGGAGCTGGAAAAAACCAAGCAGTTCCTCGCGCTGCGCGAAAAGGTTCGTGCCATCAAGCAAGGAACGCCGATCGCTTCGCTCGCGCCGCCAGCCCGTGGCCGAGCTGGCAGCTCCAAGAGCCAATCCGATGCCACCGCCCCGGCCGACGAGGCATCTGAAGCAGCCACCGTCTACACTGACAAGCAGCGAGAGCTCCTTGAACGCTGTTTGTCGCTGATTCGGCTGAATGCTCAAAAGGTGCGTTTCGTGGTTGGGTGAGAGATTTGGTCTCGATTTGTTGCTGCGCGTCCTTGTCGACTCACTGGAAAGAGGGGGGGGGGCCTTGTGTCTTTGTGTTCACTGTGTGTTGTGAGCAGACTACAATGCTCAAGATTGCCGAGGCATCTTTGCAGCGCCAACATTACCTCAGCTCCAGCCCTACTCCTGAACATGAGCTCAGCTTCATTCCTATGGTTGTGGAAACCAAGAAAAAGTATGTTGTCATGGAAGACTTTTGCTTTGCGCATGTTGAAGGGGGCGCGGGGGGTGGCTTTTGTTTCGTGGCGCTGATTGAAGTCATTCTGCCTCGTTCCAGAGACGTTGTCACCAAACAAGGCTATCTTAACTTTTTGGAAAAGACGGGAGACGCATGGACGCGTCGCTGGCTGGTGATTCGTCGCCCTTATCTCTATATTTACACTGACGAAAAGGATCCAGTTGAACGCGCCGTGATCAAGCTGTCCTCCATCAAGATCCAGTACAGCGAACAACAGGCTTCCATGCTGCAGGTGAGTTGGAGCGACCGCGGTGTTGATTGCTGTAACTGCATCGGTGTGCACACAAACTGACAACGTCCCTCGTCACTTTACAGGCTCCGTTTGTCTTCTCGCTCTGCACCAAGTATCGTGGCTACCTGCTGCAAGCTAGCAGTGAGAGCGAGGTTCACGATTGGCTCTATGCCGTCGATCCGCTCCTTGTTGGTGCCACTGTGTCGCGTGGCGCGGCGCCCGGCAAGAACTTTGGCCAAATCATGAAAAAGTCAATGCAAAGTTTGTTCTAACTTGCATCTGTGAAACGTCTTTATTCCCTATCGCTTGATCAAGTGTTGTTGGCGCTCTGCTTTTTCCTGAGCTCCACCCTTTACCTTTTACGTGATGTATGCTTTTTTTTTTTCTTGTTGTTTTTATCACTGTGGTCTGTTGCCCTCTTTTGCGAATACTTGAAACCATATTTTTTTTTCCTTTGTTGTATATCTTAGCATGTTGGTGGTTGGCAGCAAATCAAACCACCTGTTGAAACAAACTGAAGGGAGAAGAATCGTTCGATACAAACTTTCGAGCTAACAGGTCTGAGTTGGGGTGGAACACAAGTTCGTGCGTGTGAAAAGCTTTACACGGCTGGTATCGTGACAAAAACCTCAGTGCCTTGGACGACCGGCACGTTGCCGTTGCCCGAAGTCTGTGTGTTGGTGCGATTCGTGTTGTTGCGAGCTATGCTCAAGTCCTCGTCGTCATCATCAGTCTCTGCCTCATTGTCAGATCGAGGAGCGTCAGGCTGCGTTGTACTTGGAACAGTCGCGTGGCTTCTGGGCAAAAGGGCAGGAGGAATAGTCAAAGGCGCAGTGTCGGTCTCGACGATGGGTGTCTCGGACAAGGTGGCAGCGAGGCGGCGCTCACGCTCGGCAGCCAGCTGGCGGTGATAGACCCTACGTTGGTGCCTGGTCCGAATACAGGACACCACCATTATCGTCGCTTGAACCACTACGGGAAGAGAAACTGCGATGGCGATCGCAATGTACTTGGATCCTGGCGGAACGGCAAACTCAATCACCAGGAGGCACAAGATGGCATAAATCACCAGTAGCTGGCACAGCTGCCACAGCGTTGCACTGCGACTCCGACCGACACCTGCGCTAGTGGTGCCGGGCGTCACAATGTGCAGTCGATACCGCGGCACCAAGCCCGAGCTGCCATCGGCGGTGTCGGCCATCATGGGAATCACAATCTCGCGTCCATTCACGGCATAGAGCGAACTGAGCAAGTCCTCGTTGCACAGAGCCGTGCGATTCAATGTCCGGCGTAGTCGCGGCGAGTCCAGCAGGTCGACATCGGTGCCGATAAGTCGAGCGCGGATGCCTGTGTACTCTGGCGAGCTGGACGCCCGATCGACTCCGTGGGGCTCGTCGTCGAAAGCAGTAGATCTCGGCGCGTTTGGCGCACCAGCAGAAGTGGCAGTGGTCGCAGTGGTGACAAACTTGGCTGGACTTGCGGAGCGCGGCGAGGGCACTCGTGTCGCATTGCCAGAATCCGCTGGTGTTTCGAGCCGACGACTGTTGGAGCGTGAAGCGGAGAGTGAGACTGTCGCTGGCGCGCCAGGCGAACCAGTGGAATGGGAGACCTCGAGGACAGCAGCGACTCGAGTCGACGGGGAGAGTGGAGAAGTGGAATGATGGATGAGGTACAGTTGAGTGCCTTCCTGCCGCAGTAGTTGCGATGCGGATTGAGTGACCATGGGCAGATCTGGCACCGACATGTTGGTTGCACGAGTGCGGGCGTTCGTGGAGGCAGTTCGAGACAGAATATTTCGCGAGCGTGGTTTGTTCTTTGGCTCTGAAGCTTCCGAATCGTGCTGGGGCGGGACTCCTGCTGCTGCTTCCGTCGAGGCACTCGACCACGGTGGAGGTCGTGGCAGGGTTGCTTGAGACGTTGATGTTGATGACTGCAGCCCATTATTGGTACTGTGCAACCGAAGCCGGGAAAGCACCGCAGATAACGGCGAGAATAAGGATGTGGGTGCGGTGGCCGAGCTTTCGCTCGCCTGAGAGCATGACCTGAGGGTTTCCAGTTGAGCTTGAGCGCGAACACGCTCAAGATTCATGGGAATAGGGCGGAGCGGGCGAGCGGCAGCAGAGATTGGGTGTGGCTCTGTCGCCGTCTGGTCGCGTACGATACTCTGCTGTTCGACACTGTCTGTTGTTGGTAGAAGAATTGCCGGAACAGGAGCTGGCACTGCAGATGGGGTCGGCTTGGATTGGGGTAAATCCTCGGGGCTGGCTGTTGCCATTGCAGGCTGCCCTGTTTCCACCATCTCGGAGACCAGTGGTGGTGGTGGAGGTGGTGATGGTGGTGGGAGGGTATCACTGGCTGCAGTCACATGCCCACGAAGCGACTGGGGTTTTGCAGGCAGGCCCGGTGGAAGTCGATGTCGGCGCGTCATACTCTTGGGCTTCACCTTGTAAAACTCGACCGGATGGGTGATGGGGAGGTTTGTCAGTGGATTGCGGCATGAAACTCGGACAATCTTTGATTGATGGTGCATGAGTGTGAGAGCAGTTGGCCAACAAAAAGTAACAGTCGTCAGGTTGTCCGACCAACACCACACACGGATTCCATCCATACGTTACCTCGCCCCGTTCGTTTGCAAACATAATCTTGCACAAATGCAGCGCGCTGTAGTGCGTCCAGATTGCCGAGCCATCCGCGTTCTCGCCTGTTCGCACGCGTGCAATGATGAAAGCTGCGGCACAAAAATTGCACAAAGTCAGCCTTTCGTGTCGCATTGACGCATTCACTAGAGGCCCCATTGGCACCAACCTTTCCCAGCTGCAAGGTGGCTCTCCATAAGCTCTGCAAAGGTCTCCAAGGTGAACGGCTCGTCCTCATCGGCGCTCACGTAGTCCACAATGTTACGAGCGTGAGTGTGACGCTCCGAGTCCCGAGCAGTAGCAGCAGTGTTGCTGGCATTGCTTTGGCCAATGCGAATGGTGACAAGATCTGATGGTTCGGCGACTGACGTCTGCGGAAGGTGTGCCGACGGGTCGGGCTCTCCGGCGCTCGAAACACGTCCTTCCTCTTCTGTAGCGCCACCTGAATGCAATCTCCAAGCAGGCTCATCTCGACCATTGCTGCTCTCGTTGACAGTGTTGCTGTGTGAGCTCTCTGATTCATTCTGTTGATTCGCGTACGGAGCGACGTTTGTCTGAGTGAGCTCGGAAATGTCGCCGTGGTGGGAAATGGTTCGTTTGAACGCTCGCTTCAAACGCCACCACGCCGTATGTCGACGATCATCGACCGAAGCCGCCATGCTCGTGGCATCGTGCTCGGTTGCTTCTTCCGTGTCGCTCTGGTCGGCGCGGGCCGTCCGAAGCACGGTGGTTGAGCTCGGGCGTTCATTTGCGTACCACCGCGAATCTGAGCCAGACGCTTCATTCTGGCCCATTGCGACTGACACGTGCAGGCTTGCCTCCCGCAGCGCTGCTGCATTGCTGCTATTGTTGCTGTTGTTGTTTGGGTTGCTCGGGTTGTCGATTCCGTCGTCTTCAGCAGAAGAGGCAGCAATGTTTGGCGGATTGTCGTCCGCATTTGGAATTTCAGATCCAGGAGGAGACAGCAGGGCGACGTGCTCCTCCACCCCAGGCTTGAGCAAAAGAATCGTAGTCCCTGCTAGCATGTCTCGGAATCAACAGGCCTACAAAGATTTGTGTTGCTTCTTGAGCGCTGTTGCAGAGTTTTGTTGCAGAGGTTGGAGAAACAAGCACTCGATCTAAGTTTGTTGGAAAAGGCACAAAAGCACTTATTGGAAAGCACAACGTTGCAAACCAAAACCAAAAGCAAAAAAGAAATGAACTGCTCCTGCTCATCGCAACAGCATCACAGACATTAGCTTGTCGTCCAAAGCAGCTTCAGATGATGCCGCACACGAAGCCTGAGCATTATTTCCACGAGATGGTGCTCCACAAATTCAGTAACCCAAAGTTGCCATGCCCGATCTTTCTTTCATTCTTTGTTTTTTTCCACACCATCCAAAATGTCCATCCCATCCGAGTCGTGGCGTCCCGAATCTGTCGTGCTTGAGACGTCGATGGTAAAAAGCTCCTGCCGGCGTTGTGATGGGGCCCATCATGACTCGATTCCCCTCCCCCTTTGGTTGCTGATGATGTGATATTGTTGATGACGATGATTGTTTGATGATGTTGTTGATCGTTGAAGCGGGGGGAAACTGATGTGTGGTTGCTGTTGCATTGGACAGGGCGCAGTCATTGTCGAGCTGTACTGGGACCACGCTCCCAACACGTGCCGCAACTTTGCCGAGCTGGTGAGTTAAACTTGAGACTCTTGCTGTTATTGAGCAACGGATGCCGCCCCGCTGTGGGGGGGGGTTGCTGGACGATCGAGCCGACAGAGCCGAGCCAATGCAGACTCCACACTAGCTCATCGCTCACTGTGCATGCTTGTGCTTTGCGTTTTGAAAACAGGCACGAAGAGGCTACTATGATGGCATCAAGTTCCACCGAATTGTCCGAGTGCGTACAGCCCGATGGTGCAATCTCCGATCAATCAGGATCGCGACGGTCTGAGAAGAATCATGCAAAGGTTTTGCTCACTTGGAAGCGTGTTGGGTGATTTTTGTGGCATTGTTCTTGTGTGAATGATGCAGGACTTTGTGATTCAGGGAGGCGATCCCACTTCAACAGGCCGTGGTGGCATGTCGATCTACGGGTACGGTTTTTGTTTGTTTGCCTGCGATTGTGATAAGCGAACTAATGTTGCATCAAACTCATCTGCACCCGGGCGGCTTACCGTTTTGAACGAACAGTGAAAAGTTTGCCGACGAGCTGACCCGCGAACTAAAGCACACGGGTGCTGGCATTCTGTCCATGGCGAACAGCGGCCCAAACACGAATGGCAGCCAATTCTTCATCACTCTCGCGCCGACCCCACATCTCGATGGTATTCAAATAGAGCCTGCTTGTTTGTTTGTTGTGGATGCATTGTGGGAGCCAGGTTTTCTTTGCGTTGCACGTTGCTGACCTCGTCCAATTTGAAATTGCAGGTAAACACACGATTTTCGGACGCGTCAGCTCGGGCATGTCCAACGTGCACAAGATGAGCTTGGTGGCGACGAACAGTGCCGATCGGTGCGTAGTTTGGTTGTTTTGCTTGTTGCGGGTCCTGGGAATCGTCGTCTCGAGTTCGACTTGCTGTTCCAAGTGTTTTCGATTTGTTGTGCCCTCTCTCTCGCTCTCTCTGACGCTTGCTTGCTTTGATATTGGTTGCTTCTCTTGACAGGCCATTGGAGGACGTGGTGATTGTGAAGGCCAGCGTGTTGTAGACCTGTCACATGGACGTTTGTTGTGCGAATTTCAGTCTGTTTGTTTTCTTTTCCCGGCCAAGCAATGAAAAGGGGCCCATTTTTTAAGCCTGAAGCTTTTACAGAAGCGTTTGCTCATTTGTCTTGTTGATGAAGAGGGACCAGGCATCTCCCAGGGGCAGTACTTTGCAAACTGACGCAGGTTCTGCAATACGCGGGATGCTGCCGCCTGCATGTGCCTCGTGTTCTCCTTAGATTAGCATGCACATCCTACGCCAATTCATGCACACCTGATCCAAGGCGTCTCAGTCGTCTGAGCCGCTGACACACCAGTCTCCTTTTGTTTTTGCTTTTTTTCAATGCAACACGACGAAGTTATTTGGAGTGTGATTAACAATCACTTTTGCTCGTTCAAAGTGAAGACGCAGACGCAGACATTCTGTCGGAATGAGAACAACATTACTGGTCTGTGCAACCGACAGAGCTGCCCGCTCGCCAACAGCCGCTACGCCACCATCAAAGAGCAGGTAAACGAATCAAGCGAAACGAACGACCAATTCAAAAGCAGCAAGCGGCTCAGCATTGTCCCCCAAGCCGAAAAGACAACATCCTGTCCTGGAGTGTGTTGATGCAGGAGCCTTCGTAGAATGAGATCCGAGCGAGAGAGAGAGAGCGAGCGAGTGTGTGTGTGTGATCGATGGGACTGAAGCAGTGCACTGAAGCGCCATGTGCTCTGGCTCGACTGGCCCTTCATTTCCGCCCCCCCCTTCCTTCCTTTGGCCATCCCCACCCTCGTTCCCGGTCGCTCTGTGAATCACGCTTGTCTGCAAGCCACCTGCAATTGCACTAGGTTGAGGCGGGAGGGAGAAAAAGCCTCGGTCGAGACGGATCGCCCAAGCGCTCTCTACACGTGTGGCTTTGGCTTTGGCTTTGGAGCTGCCATCCATCACCCGGTCCTTCGCTTCCCCGCCGCCACCCATCCTCACCACCGTCGCTCTTTCATCTCTAGATGCTAGTGCAAGCAGCAACCGGGGAGTTGGGGGGGCGCCGTTTGGGCGGATGGATTGCCAACTCGACTACAATTTCTCGTTGTTGAACATGTCTCACTCACACCATCCACCATCTTGAAAATCAACCCTTCACAGAATGGCATCCTTTATCTCTACATGAAAACTATCGAACGCGCACACATGCCGTCGCAACTCTGGGAGCGCGTCAAGCTCTCCAAGAACTACGAGAAGGCCCTCGAGCAGATTGACACAAACCTGGCATACTGGCCAAAGTACATTGTGCACAAGAACAAGCAGCGCTTCACCAAGATCACCCAGATGCTCATTCGCATGCGCAAGCTCAAGCTCAAGTCGCAGGAGAAGCTTGTGACGGTGAACAAGAAGGTTGAGCGCCGCGAAGCTCGCCGCGAAGAGAAGGCGCTCGTTGCCGCACACATTGAGCAGTCGATCGAAAAGGAGTTGCTCGAGCGCTTGCAGAAGGGCACCGTCTATGGCGACATTTACAACTTCCCCACGCAGGCATTCGAGAAGGCCCTGGACGAACAAGAAATCGAGGACGCCGAGCTTGAAGAAGACCAAGACGACGACGACAACAGCGGCAACCGCGAGTTTGTGGAAGATTTCGACGACGAAAACGACTATATCGACGATCTCGAGGACGGGCAAGAGTTTGAGTTTGAGGAAGAGGACGGCGACGACGACATGATGGAAATCGACGAGGACGATGACGGCAACGACGATGACGACGGTGAAGACATGGACGATATGGACGACGACGACGATGACGAGGATGAAGACGACGACGTCGCCCCTGTCCAAACGCGCCGCGGTGCTGCTGCCGCTGCTTCTAGCAATAAGGCGCTTCGCGGCAAGGCTGCTGCTGGCGTCGACAAATTCATGGCAGAGCTGGCCCAGAAGGCACAGGCTGCCGCTGCCAAGAAGGGTGGCAAGCCACCAGTATCGTCCGGCAAACCATCGGCCGCAGATGTCGCACCACGGCGATCAACCCGAGGAGCCGCCGCCCCTGCACAGCCACCAAAAGGGGCCAAGCGACGTGGAGGCGCTGCTGGTGGCCGCGTCGAAATTGAATACGAGCATGAGGACGAGCATGGTCTCCGCCAAACACAATGGTAGTCATTCTACGTGTCTACCTAGCTTTTGTCGTCCTTGTGTTAAGATACTGTACTCGTTCCAAAACTTATTACAAAAAATTCGCTTCATGACACCCCAGTCTTTGTTTGGGTTTTTTTCCGTTTATGTTTTTGTGGATGCTAGTTGGTGTTTGAAAGTCAAGTTGTGCTTGTTCGAAACGACATTTTTGAAAGGAACGGAGGCCGGGGGGGGGGGGGGTTGATTGCTTTGACAACAACAAACAGCAGCTTTCAGCTATCGTCCAAATCTGCCATATACTGAACGGCACTCACCCCGTCAAGCTTGGACAACCGACCTCGCTCCACGACACGCAAGTCAGTGCACACTGCGTCAACAAACGGACCGTGGTGAGAAACAAGCACCACCGCCCCTTGGAACTTTTGGAGCGCGTTCTGCAGCGACTCGATGGACTCGATATCGAGACAATTGGTCACTTCGTCGAGCAGAAGCACGTGCGGCGAGGCAAGGAAGGTCAGGCATGCAAGCGCAACACGGGTACGTTGACCGCCACTCAACGTGGCAATACGTTGGTACGCCGTCGGGCTACCAATGCCAAAATGGCCCAGTTGGCGCCGAATGTTCTGCTCTTCGTGCTCAAACAGCATCTGTCGCTCTTGTGGTGTGGTGGAACCAGACAGCCCCATCGTGTTGGCGCGAGTCGCGTCACGATGAGCCAGCCAAAGCCCAAACAGGTGCTGAACAGGTGACTGGTCTAGATTCAGCTGATCAACGTGGTGTTGGTTGAAGTGCATGATGCACGCTTGGCGATGGCGAACAATTTGGCCTTGGACAGGCTCGAGCAGACCACCAATCAGTTTCAACAGCGTACTTTTGCCTTGGCCATTCAAGCCCAGCAGGGCGAGGCGCGTGGAAGCAAAAATCTCCAAGGTCACCTTGCTAAAGAGAAGCTTCGGCGTTGTTGCAGCCGCTGCAGTTGAGCTCGCTTCGGCGGTGGCAAAGCCAAACCCGACATTTTGCAATTGAATAAGCGCAGTATCTGGTGCCCCAATGGCAGTGGCGGCCTCAAACTGAAAGCGAATGCTGGGTTCGTCGTACAGCACCGTGGAGGCAGCCGAGCGTTTGCCGCCCTTCCAGCCACCCGTGTTGGCGTTGATGGCACCCTCGCGAATGCCGTGGAGCTGCGAGTTGAACTTGCGGCCATCAGCGGTCTTTTCAAAGCCCATGCGATTGAGTTTCTTCTTGCGGGATGCGACCTGCTGGAGACGCTTTTGGTCGCGCGCATTGCCGGCGGCCTTGGCCTCCATCTTGCGCATGGACTCTGTGAGTTGCTGTCGTCGCCGGTCAAGATCCGTCTGCAGATGGATTTGCTTTTTCTGCTTGTCCTCGCGAGCTTGCACAAATGCAGGGTAGTCGCATGGATAGTGGTCCAGCTTGCGGTGGTGGAAGTGCAGAATATCGGTCGTCACTGCCGTCAGAAACGGCGCGCTGTGAGACACGACGACAACACAGCCAGAGTACTCGCTGAGAAAGTTCTGTTTGCAGCGGAAGGAGAGGAGGTTTAGCACACGAGGGTGAGTGGGGGAAGGTTTGCAGAGCACGAATCCAACCAAAGCAGAAAAACAAAAAGTACCTGCAGCCAGTGCTGGCCAGCCGCATCAAGATGCGCCTCAGGCTCGTCCAGGAGAAGGATGTCAGGATGAAGAAAGAGAGCACACGCAAGAGACAGCCGCATGCGCCAGCCGCCTGACAGCTGGGAAGTCGGAAGCGCCAGCTTGACATCATCAAAGCCAAGCCCGTTGAGAATAACCAGCGCACGCTGGGTGGCAGAGTCGGCATCAATCTCTTGCAGACGCGCGTAGATTTCCACGAGACGCTCCGGGTTGGACTCTTGGCCGCTCTCTGCCCTGGTCAAGCCGGCCTCTTCTCGCAGCAACGCTGCACGCTCGCTATCCGCAGCTAATACAAACTCGAGTGCCGTCTTGGCTGATCCAGGTGCTTCGGCGCTCACATAGAACGTACGGAGGTGCTTTGGAAACCCTGCAGACACGGGGAAACGACGCGAACACGGTCAGAAACAAACAACACAAGACGGAGGGGGGAACTCGTCGAGCTGAAGCCTTTGGTGGTTGCATGGAGTCCAATGTCTCTACGAGCCTACTCCCTCCACCAGTTGCTTCAAGAAGCAACAGACACTGAACAACACCGCATGCCGACTTACCAGCAATCTTGTACATGGCAATCCGCTTCATGAGGGTCGATTTCCCAACACCGTTGCGCCCAACGAGCCCATAGCGATGGTTGTAAAAGAGCTTGAGCGTGGCATTGACCAGCAAATCACGCGGTCCTTGAGCCAGCACCAAGTTGCTCAGATTGACGTCGCGCGACTCGCCAGGCGGAAATCGGCCGCGCGTCATGCAGGCTGCGTGCGCCATCTCCTCGAGATCCGGCTCCGGGTCTGCTTCAAGTGCGAATGCGTCCGTGTGGCTGGCGTGCGATGCAGCGGCTTCCTCCGTTTCCGAGCTGGAGTTGTCGGAGTTGCCCTCCTCGTTGTCGTCCTCGTCGCCATGCTCCTTGTCTGCCCGCGTGTCTGGCTGGACAGCTGCATCCACAGGGTCACTGGGCTTGGTCGCACTGCTCGATGGAGCCACGCCAACGACAACGGCCTGCTCGACGGGGGCGTCCGCGCGCTTTGGCAGCGTGGGAAGAATGACGCTTGCGGTCTGTCTCGCGCGCTCCTGCTGGGCTGCGTGCAGGCTCGTCACAATCGCCTTGCACGCAGCTTCAAGCGCTGGGTCGTGGTCGTCGCCATTGAATGCACCTGCAAAGTGCGGCCCGATGCAGTCCAACAGCATGCTGGTGTCCTCGTCCACCGTGGAACCGGCGAAATCAGCCCACCCTTGCACGAGCACGCCCATTGCGTACTCGAGGGCGATCGGATCGACCGTCGCGGGCAATGCTGCAGCGTCGAGTGCACGCTGGACAATGCTGGCGTCGTCTTCTACCATCGCGGGTTTGGTTGTTGAGAATGAGTGGAGGAAATACAGGACTGCGCGGTCGGGTGATGGGATTTTGGTGGTGATTGATTGATTGGATTGTGTATTGCAATGTTACGTAAGCTTGGATCGTGACTGGATTTGTTGGCTTCGTTTGGGCATTCGGGAACTGCTGCTTTCATCACATTGATGCAATCGTCGTCCTTGATGAAAATCCGCTCAAAGCAACACACGACCTTGCCAAAAAAAATTTCGAGGTTTTGGGTTGACTTGTTCGCTTCCAAAGTTTTGAACACTGCAGTTTTCCACCCTCTGCCTCCAAACTGTGCTCGTCACTGTCTTGTCCATAAAATGTCTGGGATACATGTACTCGGTTACATTTTCAAAATAGCGATGCAGCGGCAGGCGCACCAAAGACAGCGTGCCAGGATGCGGGCGATTGCCAAACGGCGGGCAACTCCTCCGAATCTGCGATGGCCGAAGGTGGTGGAGGTGCGTCAACCACGGTGACCAGCTGGCTCACCAGACTGGCCAGCCGAGCAGCATCAGCACGATTGTCGCCTTCGGCGCAGAACTTGAACAAGACGGCAATGGGCAAATCCATCATGACGCCCTGCTCGAAGAGAATCCGCGCAATACCGCTTCCAGCAAACATGGCGCGCTGCTTTGTCTTTTCAGTCACTCGGTCACCCAGGAACTGCAAATCGGCCGCGGGCTCGACTGTTCGCACCCCCAGCGATCCCAGCTTGGTTTCAAGGTGCATCATGGACGGGCTTGTCAGGTATCGGAATGGCAATCTGTGAGCAGGAGAAGCAAAGCCGTGCGACATTACATTTGTGTCGAGTTAGAGCAAAGGAATGAGATGTGGGTTGGAGGGGAGAGGGGAAACAACAAAAAAAAAACCAAAAAAAAAAAAAAAAAAAGGCTTTTGTCAAGTCCCCGTACTCACCCGACAAGCTGTGAATCACGACGGATGTTGGCGTCGATGCTTGCAAGTACAAGAATCTTGGCAAACTCGTGCTGGGTGAACCATTGTGTCAGCGCAGTGGCAAATTCGCGTCGTCGAGACTGAACAAAACCATCAACCCAAAAACAGCCGCCTGTGAGCACACACAGAGAGACAACCTCTCAGCAAAGACCTCGGAATTCTCCGAGTTGCAACTTCCGAATGACGCTTACCTTGACGATGGGTGCTCGCTGTTGGATCAAGACAATCTTGCGTGAGGTGTCGCGGAAGACCTCGGCGGCGGTGCAGAGATTGCCCTGCGATGCCACCGATGCGGGCGCCAGTGCGTCGTTGCCCGCAGCAGGGAGCAGTGCGGACGAGTGCAAAAACCCGATGCGCTGGAACGAAGTGTGCTTGCTCGAGGCGGTCGCTGCTTGGTGCAGCAGAGTTGCGCCGAGCAGGTCGATGCACAGCTGACCGACGTTGCCCACCGACTCGCAGGGCTGTATGATGTGTGTGTGAGAGAGAGAGTGAGTGAGTGAATGAGTGAGTGAATGAGTGAATGGGTGAGTGAGTGAGTGAGTGAAATCGAGAAACACTCGGTTTCTGGAACGTTTTTGGCCAGAACGAGTGGACGTGCACACAGCCACAGGAAAACCACAGTAGAAGAAAGAGCGAAAAGAACCGTACCAGGATGAGCGTGTAGTTGGTGAGGTCGACGTGAGATGTCCCGACCGTCGCAAGATCGGGATAGAACAACTGAGCAGCCATTGGAAAGCGAAAGAACGACTGGTTCGCCATTGCCCGACATGGCCGTGGACGAACAGTGCAATGGATGTGTCAAGTGTGTATACTATTGATATAGACATCAGGAGACGCGGCTGGAATCCGGAAGTGGGAGACAAGCAAAAAAAAAAAAAAAAAAAAAAGGCAGAGAAACAAAAAAAAACTAGCGAAAGGTGGCTTCGATCCACCGACCTTTGGGTTATGAGCCCAACGCGCTGCCAACTGCGCCATCTCGCTGCAATACGCATTCGCTTGAATGCTGCTGGGGCAGAAGTGTACTCGAAATCAAAAATTGCATATGGCGAGGCAAAAGTCAATGAGATTGATCACTTTGCCGATCTGACGTTTGTCCTCGAAATCAATCTCTGAATACTTTCCTCGCAATTTCGCACGCAGAGTTGTGCTGATGTTTGTGTGTTTGGTTGTCGTGTTGGCTGAAAAGGGTCGCGGCGGTGCAGCAAGTCGAAATTTCGGACCCGTGAGTTTGCAGAGCAGATTCCAAAGCAAGCCAGGCATCCGCGACCGCCGTGTGCACTTTAAAACATGTAAAATATCATAACAAATGAATGAGAGAAGGTTTGAAGGTTGTCGCGAACCGTTTGGACGAGGATTTCAATGTTGCAAAAAAACGACCTCGACGCCAGCGAGTGAAACCCTGGGTTGGCGGACGGGTTTGTTCCATGCCCCATCAAAAATACGATGCCTTGACTTTGTTCATTTTAATTATGTCCAAGACTTGATGGAAGCTCGGATGGAAATTTCTCAACGACAATAACAAAAACAGGCGCGCGCAAGTCTAATTGTCTGCAGAAGGCCTCAAGGGTTTGCATTCAAGCACCACTTTGAGCTATCGTGTCGCCAATAACATAGTAGGATCATCCTTGCTCGTACATTCCAAAAATTGAACTGGATTGATGGCATTGCCCTCCAGGTCCCATCCAGAGCTTCACACGAGTTTGGCTCGTCCAAATTGAAATTGAGTTGGACCAGTCTAACTTTTCGCATCGAAAGCCAAACGGCCCATCATCAACCCTCGCCACCACCATTCGACGTTGACAACAAAATGGACTGGTTCCCATTGATATACAGCCTCACGCCAGCAGAGCGCAATGATCTTCTGCTTGCGAACGGGACTGCTGATGATTGTGGCGCGGCGGCGGCTGTCGCTGGTCGCGTCATTCGCAAGCCAAATCGCAAGACGGCGCTCGTGATTCTCAACCAGCCTTTGATACCCGTCTCATCAAGCCTTTTCCAGCAGCTGTGGGCAGACTCGGCCGTGCATGTCTGTGCAGACGGTGGCACCAATCGTCTCTACGATGGTGTTGGCTTTGCCCAGCAACAAGTTGCCGACTCTGCTGCTGCTGCTGCTGCTGTGGCCCGTCCCGTGGCTGAGGCCACTGATGCTGTCAATCATAGCGACACATCTGATCGAATCGCCCGTTCCAATCCGCATCCGCAGTCTGTGGGCTGTGCGCCAAGTCAGCAAACGATTTCTCGTGACATGTACGCGATGCTATTTACAGAATCATCTTTGATGATGAAGCAAGCATAACAATTATGACAAACCCAGCATCAACATTGGCAGGAAGCAGAACGCGAGACAATACGAGAGCAAAGCGAAATCAACCCACCACACCTCTTTCCGCTGATTTCGCATTTCAAACGAATTTTTCAAACCACCTTGTACATGCGCTCACTCGTGCGTCTCGACTACTTGCGACAGGTATCGCCCAGATGTCATTGTTGGAGACTTTGATTCCATCCGAACAGAAGTGAAGACCTTTTACTCGAGCTCTCCGGCAACGACAATCGTCCATTCCCCAAGCGAAAACTATCACGACATGGACAAGGCAATACTATGCGCAGTCGATCTGCTATCCGGCGTATCCCCTCGACCGCTTGGGTCGGCTGGAAGTGCACTGGTGCTCGATGACGTCCAGTTCGACAAGGCTGCGCTTGCCGGAGCCTCAATCGTCGTGCTGGGCGGTCTCGGAGGTCGGTTTGATCACACCATGGCCTGCATCAGCTCCATGTTACGGTGGACCAATGCTGGTAAGCGGCTGACTGGCTGGCTGGCTGGCTGGCTGGCTGGGGTGTTGCTGCGCGCATCTAGGTTTGATGCTCATCTTTTTGCCTTGTCTTTGGTTGATGGTGTCGGTGAATCGCCGTTTCGACCGTGTGACAGTGGGCGCAACGGTCACCGTCATCACGCCCGAGTGCACGGTGACAATGCTTCCTGCTGGTCGACACAACATTGTGGCGAATCTTCAAGCTGAGGGGCCAACCTGCGGATTGCTTCCCGTGTGCGAGCCCTGCATGTTGACGACGTCCGGATTCACCTGGAACCTTGGTACGTCCTTGATTGCACTTTCTGTACCCACATTCGTGGGGTGTTTGCAAACACTTCGGGGTGACTGACAGGTCATTTTGCGTTTTTGCGGGACACAGAGAATGGGCGAATTGCGTATGGTGAGCTCGTGAGCTCCTCCAATTCAATCGATACAACCACTGTAGATGCACGACATCCATCGTTGGCACTGCTGACAGTCCAAACATCAGCTCCCTTGACTTGGACAACTGAATTGCACTTTGCTCACGCTTGATTTGTCTTGATTCTTTGTCACTACTTTACTGTACCATCGGCATTGACATACCTTTATCAATAAAATTCACGCGTCCCGAGTCGTACCAATGTTGACAACGACGAGTGAGTTGGATTGGAATTGAAATTCAATTCAATTCAATTTCGCTCGATTCGATTGCTCGTTCTCTCTTCCAGTACGTTCTCAACTCCATCCACCCACCCCTCGACCTATCTTCCTTGCGAATCCGGTAGAGCTTGCTCTCGTACATCGGATTATACCGGTCACGCGCAGACGAGAGCGAGACTGTCGGCTGCAGGGCGGTGCCAAAGTGAAAGGATGCTGAGAGAGCCGGGTTGATCCAACCGCCCCACGTTCGACGGCTGTAGCGCACCACGCTCTGTCTCTCTCTCTCTCTCGCGCGCTGAAGCCTCCAAGGCAAATGCTTCCTTTTGGCCATTGTGTGCAGCAGGTGTCGCCCAACTCTCCACAACAGTTTGTTTGAGGCGGTGGTTGCAGCGTTCCCTCTCCTTTTCATTTTTCCCCTTCCTTGTTTTCCATCCACTCTTCACTGACCTTTGCCCCATCTGCTCAATCCACACACAGTACACCTAAACAAGCATGGGCGCTTACAAGTACCTCGAAGAACTCTACAAGAAGAAGCAGTCGGACGTCCTCCGCTTCCTCGTCCGCCTGCGCTGCTGGCAGTACCGCCAGCTGCCGGCCATCCACCGTGCGTCGCGCCCCACCCGCCCCGACAAGGCTCGCCGTCTCGGCTACAAGGCCAAGCAGGGCTACGTCATCTACCGCATCCGTCTGCGCCGTGGTGGCCGCAAGCGCCCAGTGTTCAAGGGCATCATCTACGGCAAGCCCGCCGCTCAAGGTGTTACCCAGCTCAAGAACCAGCGCAGCCACCGTGCCATCGCCGAAGAGCGCATTGGCCGTGCCATCGGCGGTCTCCGCGTCCTCAACTCGTACTGGATCTGCCAGGACTCTACCTTCAAGTACTACGAGGTTATCATGGTCGACACTGCCCACAAGGCCATCCGTCGCGATCCCCGCATCAACTGGATTTGCGAGAACGTCCACAAGCACCGTGAGCTCCGCGGCCTGACCGCTGCTGGCCGCAAGCACCGTGGCGTCGGCAAGGGTCACCTCCACAACAAGACTGCCGGCTCCTCCCGCCGTGCCAACTGGAAGCGTCGCAACACCCTCTCCCTCCGCCGCTACCGTTAAAACAGCACGCTGTGCTGCCACCCCCGGTGCGAGCTGTTGGAACACGTTGGTGTTGTCTCCCATCTCGTTTTCTCCAGATGTTCTGTGTGTCTGGACTGTTTGCGTGTTTGCTGCCATTTTGTCCTCAATAGTAGTAGATTTGTGAGCAATTCTTGTTCCAGAACGTGGTTGAAGTTCAAAGCCTCAGGATTGGAGCCATTTTTTTTTTTGAAGCTTGGATGTGAAAATTTGACAATGACAAATCCAATTCGATGCAGCCCAGCAAAGCTGTCTTTCCCCCGCCCCCCACCCTAAATGCACTAACCAGCAACAAAAGCACAAACCACGCAAACCACCAATCCAGTCTTCTGTCCACTTGTGGAAATGCTGGCAGCCGGATCGGTGCGCCGCACGTTGCTTCAGCGGACGCCGCTCGGCCTTCCCACCTCCGGCTCTGGCATTGTGGCCACTGCTTCCTTGGCCAACACTGTCTTTGGATCCACCCCAGCCTCCGTCGTGCCGGTGGCTCCGCGTCGCCCTGCCTCGATCTTGGCGGTCGAGAATTCAGGTTTGCTCTTTTTTTTTTTTTTTTTTTCTGTTGAGAGATAACGAGATTTTTGCATTACGTTCCGGTTTCTGCCCATGCAACGCTTGCACTGCCATGTCGGGCATTCTGTGTCGTCGCTTGCTACGCTTCTTGCTACGGTTCCCTCCATCCCCTCGCCCCCCAAATCCTGTGCGCCTGGTTTTTGAAAAGCGAAGGTCACTAATGCTTTTTTTTTTTTTTTTTTTTTTTTGGAACAGGATTCATGATCGGTACGTCCGCCGCATTGACCTTGCCGACCTCGGCGCATGCCTTTCCAGCGACCCACCGATCTGGTGCGCTCGGGGCACGGTAAGAGATCTCGCGATCCTTGTCTTGGGAGGGGGGGGGGTTGACTGGGTGTCTGCAGGTGAAGGGACCTCCGAGTGGATGGGTTCCCAACCGTTGGGACTTGCACTGACTGGCCGTGCTGCAATCCAGGTCCCACGGCCTTGTAACAAGAGACCCGCTCACCCGTCACTTGAACGCTCGCCGCGCCATGTCGTCTGGCGCTACTCCATCTGCGCCGGTCGCCGCAAAGTCTGGGCCAGTCCCTCCTCCACCTGCCGCTCCACCCAAGCCCTACGTCAAAGAGCCCGACAGCAATGTAGAGAAGGCCATGCGCTTGGTGCAGAGTGAGGCTGCGGCCAAGGCGGCCGTGCAGCCAGCTGCGGGGACGACCAACAGCGTTCCAATTGTCTCGGCAAGCGACGAGCTTGCGGCCACCCCTGCCGGAGCCAGCGCGACCGAGAGCGTTGCCAGCGCCAGTGCGACGGGCGATCAGCTTGCCACGACGACCGGAACGGCGGTAGCTGTGCCCAAAAAGCCCACTCTCTGGGAGCGCGCAAAGCACGAGCTGATTCACTACTGGAACGGCTTCAAGCTTCTCGGCGCCGACATCCGCATCACGGCCCGCCTCCTGCGACAGGTCTCTCAAGGCCACACCTTGACACGGCGCGAGCGCAAGCAGCTGATTCGCACGGCATCGGATATGCTGCGGCTCGTTCCGTTCCTCGTTTTTGTGATTGTGCCCTTCATGGAGTTTGCTCTCCCCATTTTCCTAAAGCTCTTCCCGAACATGCTTCCAAGCACATTCCAAGAGAGCAACAAGGAGGCAAGTTTCGATTGGTTTGGGCTTGTGTTTTTGAGGTTTTTTACCAACCTTTTTTTTTAAATATGTTTGTTCGTTGCTGTTTTCAATTGGCATGCGATAGGAGGAAAACATGCGCCGCAAGCTGAAGGTCAAGATCGAAATGGCAAAGTTTTTGCAACAAACGGTCGAGGATATGGCTGTCGACTCTACCTCGAAGGACAGCAAGTCGGTTGAAGAGTTTGCCCAATTCTTTGAGAAGGTTTGTACTTCTTTTTCAATGCTGGAGCCCAGCAGCATCTTGGCATAGGGCTGCCTTGTATGACTGCTGCTGGTTTGATGACGACTAACATGTATTGACGCAATAGATTCGCACGACTGGCCGAGGCGTCACAAACAGCGAAATTCTGCGATTCTCCAAGCTTTTCGAGAACGAGCTGACGCTGGACAACTTGTCTCGTGCGCAACTCGCAGCACTGTGCCAAGTTATTAACGTCCCTACTGTTGGAACGACCAACTTTTTGCGCTTCCAGCTCAAGATGAAGCTGCGTGAGCTGCGCGCAGACGATTTGGTACGCAACTCCATCAACACTAGTCTCAGTCCTGTTCTTCACGCTTTCGCCATGTTTCTCAACGTTGCTTTGCACAATAACTTGGCAACTTACTCGTCGCTCCTGTTTGCACTCTGCAGTTGATCGAGAAGGAAGGCATTAACATGCTGACGACTCCCGAACTCCAGGCAGCCGCGCATGCCCGTGGCATGCGTGCCATCGGTCTAACGCGCGAGCAGCTGTTGGTGCAGCTGCAGCAATGGCTCGATCTGCACATTCACGAGGAAATCCCGGCGTCGTTGCTGCTTTTGTCGCGCGCTCTTTCGATTTCCGACAAAGTCCCGTCCGCTCAGGAGCTCGAAGCGACGCTGCGCACGCTGCCACAGACCATGGTCACCGAAGCAGCAGTGACCATCGCCGAAATCAAGGGCGAGAAGGTCAGCAACAAGAGCAAGCTCGAGGTTTTGGAAGCGGAGGAAGTTCGCATCAAGGCCGAAAAGGAAGAGTCTGCCAAGTCCCGTGCCGCGGAAGCCAAGCAGCGTGCCGAGCAAGACAAGTTGCGCGCCGAGAAGGAACGGCTCCTCAAGGAACATGTGAGTCGGCAAGGACTTTTTTTTTTTTTTTTTTTTTTTTTTTTTTTTTTTTTGCTTTGTTTGGGCGTATCGGTGTGAGAATAGAATGCGCACTCACACTTTCGTTGCACTCTTGACTCTGCTACGATTCACGCAGGAGCACCTTATCGGATCTCTTCCTTCTGATCAAGCGTCGACTCTGCGAAAAACTCTTCAGGTTTGTTGGCATTCTCCAGATTTCTGACAGACGTAGCGATACGGGCATTAACTTGGTTGTGCTCGTTTCCCCTCACCTCTTTTCAGGAGATTGACAGCGACGAGAAAGTCACTGCAGAGGAGCTTCAAGACATTCGCGAGGCGCTTGCCGTCTTCTCTACCGAGTCTGGTCTCACCACTGAAATTCAAGATCTTGCCGAGCTCAAGGAGGAGCGTCAAGAGTACAAGGAGGTGAGTACTCTCGCGTTTCGAGATTCCAGTTGTTCAGGATGTTCACTCAAATCGTCGTGATGTTTGCCGTCTGGCGTCAACAGGACCTCGAGCAACTCCGCACCCAAACCCTCGAGAAAGTCAAGGAGAACAGCGCATCCGCTCGTCTGGGTGCTCGCATCGAGTCTATGATTTCCAACCTCGAGTCTGAGATTGTCGCGACTGAAGCCACCTTGACTAAAGCTCGCGCCACCAGCAAAGTTCTCCACACGCTGGTTGATGAGGATCGCGATGGCAAGGTCAGAGTGACAGGACACTGCAGGTGCTTGCGGATGTTCAGTTTGGACAAATTTGTTGTTGACTTCGTCTTTTTTTTTTTTTTTTTTTTTTTTTTTTTTTTTTTTTTTTTTTTTTTTTTTTTTTTTTACTTTTCAATCAATGCAGGTCTCTCGTGCGGAAATCGAGCGTGCCCTTTCTCGCCTGAAGCACGCTCCGACGCCCGAACGCACGGCTCGCATTGTTCAACAGCTGGACATTGATCGCGACGGCTTTATTTCACTCGACGAAATCATGCATCTGGCGGATTTGCTGGAGGAAGAGAGCGGCAACGTTCACGTCAAGATGGATCAGCTCTCAGAGCTCGTGACGCTTCTCAACAAGGAGAACCAGCTGGAAGACAATGTCGAGCAACAAGAACGCGACGAGAAGGAGCTCAAGTCTGTGCGCGAGAAGCACCGCAAGGAGGACGCCGATGCAGTAGCGGCCGCTGCTGCCACCATCGGCGATGGTACCCCCGTCTTGCGCGACAATGCCAAGGAGCTCAAGTAATCGTGCGGTTGCGACCGTCCGGTTCTTCTCTCTTCTCTCCCGCTCGTTCCCAATTCTTTGATGATGATGATTGTTCAGCTGTTTTTGTGCCTTTGAATCATCACTGTACCACCAACAATTCAATACGTACTACACTCGAACTTCTTTTTGAGCTCAGTCTGTCAGTTTTTTTTTTTTTTGTTGTTGTTGTTTTTGTTGTTGTTGTGCTGAGCAATGGAGCTCGAGCCACTTGAGCAAGAGTTGCTCGACGCAGCTCAGCTGGGACTCGACAACGTGCTCTCTCCCGCAGTTTGGACGACTCTCCTGAGTGCTGATGATCGCCATGCATTACAAGTGAGTGATCATTTTGTTTGCAATCACCTTTGTGGAACAAAATGGTGACAGTGTATTGATCTGGGTTTTCAAACAGAGCTTGCTGCCGCCGAGTTGTGCCAACGACAGACTCGGAACGGACAATCTCGTGAATCGCTTGCTCTCAAGTGCTCCAATGCTGTTTGATAGTCGGCCTGTGGTCGAAGCGAGTGAGCAGCTTCAAAGTAACACATGAATGAGTGCACTTCGTCGTCATTGGAGTCGTCGTTGCCAGTCACTCGCTCACACTGCGACACTCTCGCTTGGTTTGATGGAACTTTGCCATACAACTGTTGCTATATGAATTCATCAGGAAGCAACGACGCCGCGGGAATGGTCGCAGCGAGACAGGCTCGAGACTCTGCTCGAGCGCTTGAAGCTCGTGCAGACCTGGCAGCAAGGCAACATGAAGTCCTGTTGCGGTGCTTGGATCAGCGAGAGAGGCTGCTTACTACTACCGTGCAGCTCTGCGGAGAGCAGTCCGACGAAACGCAGTGGAATGCTAGTCTGAGTGCTGCAGCGTCTCGGTTGCGCGATCATGTCAAGCTCCAGTCAGCAGAAACTAAGTGCGTTTTGATGTTGGTTGGCTCAATTTAGCCAACTGCATGACTCAGAGGTGGGAGGGGGGTTGGGGGAGTTGCATTGACGCCTTCTCATCCATTGGCGGGCGTTGGACAGGATGGAAGAATTCGAACGCCGCCAAGTCAAGCGCCAGCTCAAAGACAGGATGCAACAGGCAGCAGCTCGGAAATCACAAAGATTGATCGGCGCCATTGAGCGACGGTTTGCAGGTTCTGATGACACGGACGAGTTCGGGGGCTACCTTGACGAAGGAGGCAGCGCTGACGGTGCCCATCCTACCGATCGATGGCTTCATTCGCGTCGACGCAACGTGGATGATATGGCGTGGTTGCAACAGCACCTTTCACGTGATGGCGATGCCGAGTCTGATTGGAACGAGGTTGATGATGATGATGAGGAAGTGGACGTTGACAGCGAGCTCGAGGATGATTTGGTCGGCACCAGTGCTGTTTTGCGCTTTGCTGTGGCTGCCTCTGATACACATTCTCCAAGGAGCCTCGCTCGATTCAGGCGCCCAACACGGGCGGCTGAAGCGACACACGATGTTTCGACTGACGAGTACCTGGCCATGCTTCTCGCCCATCGAGCCAAACCAGCTTACTTGCGAGAGAAGCAGCTCGCTGCACTTTCTTCTGAGGTTGACTTTCTGGGCGGAAGGCATGCAACACAGCGTTTCAAGCGGCGCGCGCTCAGCCGCAACCTTGCGTGGTCGATGGCAGTCGCCGTCCCCGTCTCGCAGAGCTCACAGTCAACCCACGCTCAAAGTGCTGCTGAGATTGATGGCTTCACGTCACTGGCCCCAAGGCTGGGCTTCCCGACGCCATGGGCATTGTCGCAGTCTGTTCTTCAACGAAACACGCCTCCATCCGCTCAATCCGACGAGAGGGCTGCCATTGACGCGCCTTCATCCAGCGCGACTGTGCCGGCCAAGCCGCTTACTAAAGCACCCATTGACGAGGACTTGTTTACGATGCAATTTCGCCGGCCATTCTCCTCATTCTTTGCGTTGCTCGGTCACATTTTACGACGCCTCCCCGAAGGCCGTGCCAGCTTGCAGCGCGTTCAGCAACTCGTTGGAAAGTGGCTCACTACAAGTTCCGCCGCTGGATCGGCGTGGGTGAACGACAATCCAGATTGGCCTGCGCTCACCGAGAGTGCCCTGCGCTATCTCGCTGGCCTCAGTCTCCAGGTCACCAAATGTTCCGTTTTTACGCCGTGCGTGGACTACAAGGAGAGATTGCACAAGTGGTCGTGGTTGTCCCAGGGTCAAGATGACATGTCGACCCTGAGCCAAATGTGCGAAGCCTGGATGCAAACCAAGTACGCGCGCGGCCGAGTGGGGATGTTTTTGTGCCGTAGCTGTATTTTTGACTTACTTTGCTGCTTGCTGTTTCAGGGATGAAGATAAGCGAATTGAAGGGAGTAATGATCCCGCCAGCATTCCCGAGCCTCGATGTCCCACGAACAGCAAGTATCGCAAGAGCACACCAGAAGAGCAGGTGGAAATCCGAGCCCAAGAAAAGTAAGCGCGAGTTTTTTTTTTGTTTTCTGCTCTGCTTTTTCTCATCACCAGAATGCCTGCTGCTGCTGCTGCTGCAGAGAACGCTACGCCAATCCCGAACGTCCGTTCACTTGGCGGGTCCGCGACTACTTTGCATCCGTGGGTCCGATCAAGGGCGTGTTTAAAAAGGTGGCAGAGTCGGCCTCGAGCAAAGTGCGTGGGCACAATTTCCTGTCAGAAACACGGCCGTCGTATGTCACCGTGTTGACCCTCATCCGAGATGCTGCTGCTCGCTTGCCAAACGGCGAAGGTAACAAACTCGTGCACACACACAGGGACAAGTCTCAGCTGCGACATCCATGCCGACTGACTGCATGACTTTGTCTCTCATAGGCACGCGTCTCGAAGTCTGCGAGACTCTGCGGGATTCGCAGTATCTCATCCAGGATGCGACTGACAACCAAGTGTACCAGATGGTCAGCAGTGCGCTTGACCGATTGCGGTGGGAGCCCGACCCGTGTATCCGGTTTGACAATGATCGGAAGATATGGGTTTACTTGCACCGTGGCCGAACCGAAGAGGACTTTGGTATGTCGTTGAAGGGGGGGGGATGATTTTATGATTTTGGTTTTTGAGAAGGAAGCGAGAAAAAAAAAACCACTCTTTGACCCTCTTCTCATTTCACCGAAATCACTGCATGCAGAGAAACTCCACGAAATGAGTGCGATGCGCTACAACGCACGAAAGCTTCAGCTTCAGGAGGGGGGCGAGGCTAGCTCCAAAAGCCGCAGCAAGGCGTCCTCGTCTCGCAAGCCGCCAAGTTCTACCCAGGCGAGTGGCACATCCGCGGTTAGTGCTTCCAGTGCTGCAGGGCCTGCTACCGCGAATGCTTCTGCCACGGCATCACCGCGCCCTGCCGACCTTCCCTCAGTGCAATAGTCCATTTTCTGATGATCGTTTCGCTCCGAACGCAACGCGTACAGCTCAATAGTAATTTAATGATTCATGTCCAAGTTCACCTTTACACTCCTATTCCAAACCTCATCACTTGGCGGATTCGGGTTATGATTTGGGGATCGTGTACAGTCTTCTTTTCCCCTGTCCCTCAGCAACGCACCATGTCCGCGCTCGCTGCCGTTCTCGTGGCTCCTCTCGCTGCGATCGTTCTCCACGTCGCCAACTACAATGCGACTGCGCAGATCGAGCACAAAACTCGCTGCTTTACCAAAGTGCGTTGTTCAGGATGGTTGGGGTTGGGGGGTGGTTCGCATAGGAATAGTGAATAAGGGCAGCGAGAGTGCCATGCTGACTGGACTGACTGGACTGACTGACTTGTTTGATGCTCGGTATGTTGCTGGCAGATCCTTGGTGCGAATGCAGTGTACTACTACGCCGTCTATCTGGTTCTGAGTGCCGCAGTGCGCGACGCCGTCATCCACTCTGCGATCGAAGCGTCGCTGCCCGAGCTTCAGGTGAGCCACAATGTCAAATCCATGGATCGCGGGTTTTGGGCATGACGACTACAAGGTCAAGATTTGATGAATCCTGCGATGGCAGAGTTATCAGAATATTTCATCGCCTAGGGGTGGCGGCGGATGTGATGCAGTGTTGGTTGTTTCAGCTCACTTTGTCACGTTTGGACAGTGGATTGTGCTGCCTGTCGAGATTGCTACGATCGTCGGCTACGGCCTCTTTGTCGTTGGCATTTTGCTCAACCTGTGGACGCTTCACGCGCTTGGTATCAAGGGCATGTACAATGGCGATTCGTTCGGCTTCTTGATGGACGCGCCTGTTACGTCTGGTCCGTACACGATCTTTTCGGATCCGCAGTATGTCGGAACGACCCTTGCCATGTTCGGTGCCGCGCTTCGTCAGCAATCGATTGTTGGCTACGGTACGTTGTGACCTGTTGTGCCTCGAGAAAAGGGGTGTTGTTGGGGAGTGTTTGTTGAATGCCGTTTGCTTGCTGCTCGTTCTGATTCCATTTCTTGCACCCCTGCGAACGCGATTGCAGCATTGACTCTGGCCATGGGCATTGTCTTTTGGATTTCTGTCAAGTTTATTGAAGCAAGCCAGCTGCTCTTCTGTTTTCTGTTTTCTGTGTTTGTTTAGGAGTTCGACAGCATCCACTCACACGTTGTGTTTTCACTTGCGTAGGGTCCTCATCTTCAGCGCCTGTACTCTAAAAAGCCATCGTCGTCAAGCAAGTCTGCCAAGCGACAATAATCCCAGAGCAATGTCGTTGCGTGCCCTGGTTTTTCAATCGTACTTTCCCCCATTGTCAAGTTCAATTGAAATCCAACATCACTTTTACTTGAGCACTTTCTCTCGCATGCTTGACTTTGTCATACATCTCGCGCTGTCTCGCAGTCATGCGCCAGCATTTGGACGAGTGTTGAATCCATATTGCCGAACCAAAGGAGTTTGTTCATTCTCGTCCATCTCCATTCAATCTGTTTTCTTATTCTCCTTTCCTTCATTGATCCATGTTCTCGTGTCATTCATTCATTCATTGTTTTCGCTCTCTTAGATTCTCACTCGCTTGGGCAGGTGACCCCTCCCAATCCTCCACTCCCACTTGCCCCTCCGACCTCCCCCCCCCGCGCTGACGCAATGAGTAACGACAGCGTGGTGCGCTGGTGGCATGCGCGCTGGATCCAGATGACTGGCGTGATTGCGCTCAGTGCCTACCTGGCTGGTGCGCTCGGCCTGTCTCCGCTCTGGGTTGGCGCGCTCCTCGTCGGCTCCTTTGCCGTCTTCCGCCGGTATCGCCTCGCTTTGTTTTTCTGCTTCTTCGTGTTCGATGTGTTTAACTTGCTTGCTGTTGCGCTTTTTTGGAGCTGTCTGCCAGAGTATGTGAGTGAGTCAGGTCAGTCCGAAATCATCTCTGACCCGCACTGTTTGTTACTCGTTTGACCCTCAATGACAGAATGGTCCCGCGATTCCTCACTGCTGTGCTCGCCGAAGCAGAGAAGCGCGCATTGCATCGACTGGCACTGCGCGGCGACGTCGAGACGGTCGACTGGCTTGTAAGCATAAAGCCAAAAGTTGTTGGTTCGTTGCGGATTGTGACGACACACACACACACACACACACACACACACACAATCTGGAAACTCGACAACATCTGAAACTCGACAACATCTGAAACTCGACAATCAACTACCATTCATTCAGCAAGCAAACCGAATGCCGGGGGTTTTTGACTTGAAATTTTGGTTGTCGCTCATGGTTTGCCTGGTTGTCGGTTGGCAGAATTACGTGCTCGCACAGTTTTGGACAGTGTACGAGCCAACACTCGCCGAATCCATGCGAGGACCGCTGCAACGCATTCTGGAGGCAGCGCGGCCGCGCTCGGTTGCCTCCATCGAGCTTGTCAAGTTCACCCTGGGGCCCACAGCTCCCTTCTTCCGATCTGCTCGCGTACTGGCTCCGGTTGGGGCAAAGACCCTCGAAGCCGACCAACTGCTCGCTGCAGCCGCCAGCGCCAGCCGCTCGACTGCTATGATTGATCTGCTGGTCGATACAGTGGTTCGTGCGCCGGCCGCATACGCCATTGTCGAGGTCCGTCTCTCCGCCAAGATGCTGCGCCTGAAAGTGCCGATTGCCGTCAGCAATCTCATGCTCCAGGGGCAGCTCATGCTCGGCCTGAAATTCATGTCCAAATCCCCGCTGCTGGAACACATCACGTTCTCCTTCTTGTCGCAGCCGGAGGTGGACCTTTCCATTCGGGCCATGCACAACGTGGATGTGATGGACATGCCCTTCCTCTCCCAGTGGCTGGAAGGCTCGATTGATTCCGCCATAGCATCGACCATGGTCCTTCCAAACAAGCTAGAGTTTAACATCAACGAAATGTTCAACGGCGTGGACGAGCTTGACGTCCTTGATGGCTCACCAGCGTACTTTGCTCGCTCCCAAGCGGTCGGCATTTTGCAAGTGACAATCTCGAGTGCCACTCTGAATGCGCTCATCGAACGCGAGTGGTCTGCGCTCGACGCTCGCACAAACACCACTTCAACAACACCCGCGAGCGGACCACTTCAAGCAGGCTCGACGTTGGCCACGCCGAGCGACCTGTCAGCCAACACAACCATCCGGTGCTTTGTTGACGTGGGTGGGCGCGTACACGCATCCCGTGCCATCAAGCGCCATCATTTAGCGGACTGGTCCCAAACCTTTTGCATTTTGGTGCACGACGTCAACTCTCAGCGTGTTTCGATCAACGTCAAAGCATCCATCCAAGAGCCATCCACGGCCGCCGTCATCTCTCCGATTTTCCTGCCAACTGCTGGCGACGCGTTTCACCAGTTTGAATCTGGAGAGACAGAGGTGGTTGCGCGGGTGCACATGCCCGAAACGGTCGATTGCGGCTCTTGCAGCTTGGACATGTACGAGATTGTTTTCCAGCACGATGCAACGCTGGTGACAGAGCAAGTGCTCAAGCGTCTCAGACCAAGCTCGAGCATGCTCCCGGTGTCGCGTGGCGCCGTCGACGACCACGAGGAGGTTGGTCGCTTGCAAGCCACCTTCAGGTACCATGCGCTTGGCCCTCCTCCTGCGTCAGTGGCAGCCACTGGAACCATGGCCTCTCCGGCTTCGGCGGCAGGCGGCCCAGGACAGAGTGGCGCCGGCGTTCCAACCATACCAGCATCGTCCGTCGCGACTCCAGGGCCGAATGGAGAGGACTTTTTCGATGCGAGTGGCAGCGCTCCTACCAAGCCGCTGTCCAGCTCCGTGGCTGGGCGGAAGGCCTCGGATGAGCCGTCAGCGGGCGGCATCTTTGGTCGCATCTTTGAATCTGGTCTTGCAGCAGAAGCTGGTCGTGCAGCCACCATCGTGCGTGAAATGGCAACGTTGCCCCGCGCAGTGTTGCATCGCGCCAAGGGTGTTGCTGTAATTTCAGTGGTACGCATTGGATTTCTTGCGTCGGTGCGCTTTGGCACAGGCCTAGTGCTTGCCCGTCTACCTTCCGGAGCCTGGTCTGCGCCCAGTGCGATCGCTTTGGCCTCTCTTTCGGGCGGATTGGAAGCTGGCGCCGAGGTACGTCCGTGGATGCAAAGCGCTTCTTGCGAAACAACTATTTGTTCGCTTGTTTTTCTTTTTCGCTTGTGGTTGTTGTTATTCGCTCACTTTTACGCGCGGCTCGTTTTTTTTTTTGGGCATGTGTATTTTGGACGTCCACTTGTTGCAGAAAAGCGACTTTCTCATCATCCTCAACACGTCCGATGCTGTGAACGCCTTTGCGAGCGGCACCGCGTCTCTCGGTGGCAATGTGTCTGTGGCGGCAGGTCCTGTTGGTCGTCAAGTGGCCGCTGAACTGTCGACGAGCAACTTGTCATCGGCCTTCTCCTACTCGAAGACGAAAGGGCTGTTTGTGGGTGTTTCCCTCACCGGAACGGTGCTGATTGAACGGAAGGACGCCAACCGCAAATTCTACGGCATGCAAGTCTCGGCGCGCGAGCTGCTCTCACGTACCATCGATAGCATGTCAGAAATTGAGCCATTGTACCAGGCTTTGGCAGACAGCCAAATGGCGCGCGGTGTGCGGGTCGCCGCGTTCAAGCCCGACGAGCACGACGATAAGGACTCCAAGTTGTTCGGCAAAGATCGCAAACAGCCCCGGAAGGCCTCCCGAACCGCGTCGTCGTTGGCCATCTCGCCGGAAGATGGCGATGACCAGATCGGTATCAACATTGGTCGCTACTGCCGCAAAGGCAGCGGTGTACTGCGCCTCGAACTCAAACAAGTCGTGTTGCAAGCGCTAGACTCGGCTTCCGAGATGGCCAAGCGCAAGATATCTTTGGAGGACGGCTCCGATCGATCTTTCAGCCCTTCGGGTGCACCTACTGAGCCGGGCGAGTTGTTTTGTGTCGTTGAGAAGAATGGTCGTCGAGTGTTTGAGTGCGAGCTTGATCCTGTCAAGCTCACGCCGCTTGGGTCTTGCAGCAGCGTCGAGCTGATTGTTCGGAATTCGGCGGCTCTCAAACTGCACGTTGCAATCCTGCGCCGCGTCGCACACGACCCTGCAGAGTCCAGCAGCCATTTCGGATTCCCTTCCGTCGACGCGGCGGAGCCTCCTGGCGCCCAAGCGCAGGATCCTTTACAGATTGTCGGTGCTGTGGTACTGGATGTGGCACAGCATTTGCCGCCCGGCACGCCGGCAGGCACTCGAAACGATCGCGTGGTCGTCGATTTGAAGCGCGACGCGACTTTGCCGTCGTCCTTTGCAAACTCTGTCACAGCGCGCGTTCTTGCCAAACTTCAGCAACAGCATACGGCGAACGCAGCAGCGCATTCCGCCTCGTCTCCTTTGACCCATACCTTCGAGGAAGACACACGAACCCAGCGATCGCACTCGTTGCCCTCGGGCATTGGAACACCACCACCGACGGCCGTCTCTGGATCGCGTTCCCCGTCGTCGGCTCTTTCTGCAAGTCCGACAGCTCCAGCCAGCCCCACTGTTGCAACCTCTGCTGCGCTTGGAAATGGCACTGTCTTTAGCGGGGGAGCGAGTTCGAATAGCCATCCCATGGTGTTTGGCTCGGGCAAGCTCCTGCAGGTGGGCAAGCTATTGTGCGCGCTCTCCTTTCGGTACATATCGCTGCAATTTGAGCCTCCCGGCGGCAGCTCCGGGATGACCGGCTCGCCATTGGGATTTGCGCGACAGCATCAGGGTGCCTTGGGCAGCGAAGACCGATGGGATGATTTCGTCCCTCTCATCAACGGCGCTCGAATCTGTCTCTTTGGAGCGGTTTCTGATAACTCTGGCATGAAGCTCGTCAACCAAGAGCGCCACCCCTCTTCCAGCGTGCGGGAAGCCTTGCTGCATGATGCGACCATGAGCGGGGCGTCGTCCGAGCGGGCTGCTCGACTCATTCTCACCATCATCGAGGCCAAGCACTTGCCGGGAGTGGATCGAAACATGCTGTCCGACCCGTTTGTCGTGGTCAAGATGGATGGGCGACGGTTGCACCGCACAAAGCCCATCAAGCGAGACTTGAATCCGCGCTTCAATGAAACCACAGTTGTTGAGCTCGTTGATCGGCTTTATACCCGCCTGTTGTTTGTGGTCAAGGACTGGAATCTGTCGCATTCGAGTGTACCGATCGGCAACTGTGAAATTTGTCTGGGTGATTTCTTTGCCGATTCCAAGATGGCCGCGGCGGAACAAGAGACCGCGAAACACGCCGACGGAGGAGTCGACCCGGCTCTGAGCGCCGCTGGCGCGAACGGTAACACGTCAGCTGCGGCCTTGTATCAGACCAACGACGGATGGATCAAGTTGAATGATGGCGCAGATGGCATGCTCCACATTCGCATGCAACTCACCGGCGTCGTCCCTCCTGGGAGCCCAGATCCGGAAAAGACTCTTTCGCAAGGACCGCTGCAGCGGCTGCTTCGTGCGGCTACGAGCTCGTCCCTCGCGTCCGATGCCAACCGCACTCCTGGCGATAGCGCCAGCCTGTCAAGCTCTCTGCCGTCACGAAGGAGCGAACCCTCTCCATCTCTCCCGCTTTCGCCCATGGACTTGTTGCAGACATCTTCCACGCCACCTCCCGACGGTCAAGGTCGATCTGGCCTTCTTCCGCGGCGTGTCAGCATCTTGAATCCCAGGAGTCTGGCTGGCCCGCCCGCTCCTGTTGGCAAGTCGGCTTCAAAGCATTCCATCCTGGCTGGCTTGGCCAAGGTGAATGCAGACGTAGCAGCGCCGCTGTCGTCCAAGCAGTCTGCACCGCCCACGCCTGGCCCGACATCAAGCCCGCATGAATTCAGTCTGGCCGGTCTCACTCCGGCCTCTGGGTCAGTGTCCAGTTTGGAAGCAGCGGACGGGGCAAGCCCATCGCCTCCATCTCGATTATCGGCAAACGTTCCCTCCTCTTCAGACAACCCAGCACCTTCGCTTCTGCCTCTCTTGCAAATTAGTCACGCAGAGGAGACTGATGCCACCTCGACCACGAAACCGACGAGTGCCGTCAGCCATCCCTCTGCTCATTCCAAGTTACAAGGCGAAGCTGCCAGCTCTCAGCCAGATACCAACCATCAGAACGCTCTCGGAGCCAGCCCAGATCACAGTCTGCTGGCTCGGGCGGATTCGCGGCGGAGCACGCGTTCCGCAGACAGCGGTGCGCTGGACGAGCAAGTTCTTCCGCTCTCCGAACCCATTGCGCACAATGCGAATTGGGTTTCTGCCCTCATCCTGGATGAGAACGTGTACCTGCGCCTCGGTTCGATGAAATTAGACTTGCTCAGCGTCATGCACCTGCCTGAAGGCGGACCTCAGCGGTACGTGTCTGTCAAAGTCGGCGAGGTGAAGGTCTTGCGCACCGGTAAGGTTCCGTCAACGTCCACAGCATCGCTTGCCAGCGCAGCTGCCAGCGTCTCTGTTCATGCATCAAGCACTCCGCTAACGGCCGCCACGCGGTGCATTTTCACACTGAACGAGCATCATGTTTTCCAAAAGAATGAGGCTCTCTCGAAATGCTGTGTGCTGATTGGCTCGTTGTTTGAGCTACCACCCGGTACCTCCAAGTTGACTCTGCCATATGAGCGAGAGGTGCTCTTGAATCTAGAGCCTGCGCCGGGACAAATCCTTGTTCGTGTCACATTTGATGCGTGATTTTGTTTGTTGTTTCGTTTTTTGCGCTCGCGGTTTCTCGTTTTTCATTGTACACCATTTTAATATTCTTCCACATGCTAGTATCCAACTGATAGAATGCATTTGACAACCTATTCGTTTTCCAGATGGCCTTTGACAGCCTTCCCGACAGAGTTGACATCGATCAAGAATGTGTCGTGGCCGTAGATCGAGTCAAGCTGGTAGTAGACAACCGATTGATTGCCCGTGGTTCGCAGCTTGTTGGCAACCTGGCGTTGCTGCCATTCGGGGAAGAGGATATCAGACTCAACACCAAGGACGAGCGCTGGCATGTCGATGCGATGAAACGCGGCGTCCAGCGATTCAAATCCCTGGCCGAGATCGAACAGGTCCATGGCCTATGAAGCGCAGTAACAAGTACATTGAAGAGAAGAATGCCATGAAAAGCCATCAAGTTGTGAGGAGAAGCGAGGATTTGGGTTGCAGCAGGGGTTTTTTTTTTTGGTTTTTTTTTTGGTGTTCATGCCCGACTCACCTTGGAGATATACAGCAGCGAATTTGGATCGTATTTCAGGCAAAATAACTCACCCTACGGAATGAAAGTCAGTGTGCCAAAAATAGAGAGGCAGGGAGGTGAGCCAATCTTGCGTCAGTGATTTCATTGTGTTCTTCAAAGCACTTGCCTGATGATCGAGATAGGTCTCGATGAGAAAGTCGGGGCAAAAGTTTGGCGACGACTCTGGATTGGCACGCTGGCGTCCAAAGCGTTCCTCCCACTCGGGACCCGAGCGATAGCTGATGGTTCCAATTTCTCGAGCCACTTTCATGCCAAAGTGAGGGAAAATGCCCTTGTAGTATTGACCACCATTCCAATGAGGATCTGCCATCAACACGCGACGCTGCACGTGTCTCATTGCAATGGACAGTGGATGGGACATGGCCGCGGCCGAGATGCTGACCACCTTCCCGACACGGCTGGGGTGGAGTGCAGCAGCCGTCAGCGATTGCATTCCGCCCAACGAGGATCCGACAGAAGCGTACAACTTCTGGATGCCCATGTGGTCAAGCAAGTGGAACTGAGCCCTCACCATATCCTGGACCTGTCAGGATGGATGATGATGAAGTCAAGAGCAATCTGCGATCAGTTCAAGCAACAGAACCAAAAAAAAAAAAAAAAAAAGAAGACTCACTGTTAGGATTGGAAAGTGAGTTGCATACGCCTCGCCAGTGGTTGGATTGATGCATGATGGTCCTGTGGAGCCGTAGCACGAGCCAAGGACGTTTGTGCACATGACAAAGAACTTGTTGGTGTCGATGGCGCAGCCAGGTCCGATGAAGGCTTCCCACCAGCTGCAACGACGCACACGCAAGATTCATGAAATAAAACGAGTAAGCCACGAGACGCTCGTGACCACTGACACATTACATGCATTGCATTGCCAGTCTCACCCGGGGTTTGTGTTTTTGGCTTGCGATTTGGCGTGCGAGGAGGCCGAGAGCCCAGTGTGCAGCAGAATGGCGTTTGATTTGGACGCGTTCAGTGTGCCCCACGTCTCATAGGCAATGTTAAACTCTGGCAACACGCCGCCGTGGTAGAGTTGGAAGGGCGTCTGTCAAGCCAATCGTACAAGGTCAGATCGAAACGTCGGTGAAAGGTTCCATTGTGTGTGATCCAACAACAAGATTTTGCATCCGTTTGTCCAACCACGGAACTACACAGCCACGGAACTACGGAATCGATTCGAACCGCCGCGACTGGGACAACAATCTCAGAGCGGCTACAACCACACCCACCTTGTGATGGTAGACTTCGTAGCCCGAGACGACGCGATCGTACATTGGCTCTGGGCCGCCTGCAGCTCTGCGTTCGGCTTCCTTCTCCATGCACGGGAAGCTTGCACTGAATCCCTTGAAGTTGGATGTCGGAGCATCGTCACGGTTTGTCCGTGCGGCCTGGCTTTCGTTCTTTGGAAAGGCGATCGGCGTGTGGCAGACCGCGCCTGCAGCTGCCCCGGCTGCCGTCGTCGTTGCCGCTGTGGTTGTTGGCAGTCCCTGAGCCTGACTGCTGCTGGTGGTCGCTGCACCGGACGGCAGTGTCGGAGTCGGCTGGTTGCGGTACTCGAGGTGCTTGATTCGCAGGGAATCCTCCGCCGAGATCCGTGTCCCGGCTCGCGTGAACGACGACTTGTGCATCGCAGGCAGCGTCAGACACGCTGAAGACAATCTCGTCGTGGTCGTGGTCGTCGTCGTCGTCGTCGTAAAAACAGCAGCACAGCGCGCTGAAGTCGTCCCGCCACGGAGAATTGCGCGGATTGTCAGCTTGGAAGCGCTGCTCAGCATTGTCAGACAAAACAAGAGAGACTGAATGAATAGAATGCAGGGAATTTTTTTGCCTCAATGAACGTAGATTTGATCAGAAATCAAAGCCAAGATCAAATGAATCCAGTTCAGTTTTTTCCATTTGTTTTTTTTACTGGTTTCGTATCCAGTTTGGTCTTGTTTTTGGCAGTCGTTTCCTTGCTTGAATAGTGAGTCGAGCGTAGCACTATTTTCGCCTTTTATTTTATTTTTTTGGGTTTGTTCTGCTCCTCTTCCTTCTTGCCCCCTCACAGCGCCCCCCCCCCGACCACGCGCTTTGTCATCCCCACAACAACAACTTCCGATGCAAAACACTTTCCACATTCGTGTGTTGCACCACCGACGACCCCCCCCCCTCGACTGATCGAAACGACAACGTTCTACTGTGCCATCCCTTCCCTCCCTTCCCTCCCCCCTTCAAAAACGAACGAACGCTCGTACTCACTAGTTTCTCATGCTTGTGTGCTTACCATTGACTTTTGCAGAGACAGAACAACCTCGCATTCTGCTGTGGTCGGGGACGCAACAAGCCAACCTTCG